ATAATTTCTTTTTAAGTATTCAAGTTCTGACAAAGATTAAATGTTTACAGCAACATAATAATTTAAAAGATAAACAATTATATTCATTTTTATAAGTTAAGTATGAAACTTAAGAATAATTAATTATATATAAATATATAAGTTTTTCCTGAGATATAATTAAATGAGCCGTTTCAAATTTTAATATTGATTTATATATATATATATATATATATATATATATGTGATCTGTTTTAAAAACCAGATGTATCACACGTAACATTTCAGATTAAATAAATTTTGCTTAGTCACATTTTAAAAAAAGAAGTGTTATCTTAAGTCTTAAAACACAAATATATATATATATATATATATATATATATATATTTAATAAATTCATAAAAATTCATTTTTAGTTTTCATTGAAGAATCATTGATTATATATATATATATATATATATATATATGAAATATTGAAGCCAAGGGAAAATAAACATAAAGCCTACTTTTTGGGACGCAAGGTTTTTTTTTATTTACGTTTCAAAATAAAATTATAATGCATTACATTTTTTTTATTCATTTTGAAATTCTAGTTTCAAGACATTAAAAACCAACTCCAAAATCCTTTCAAAATGGGAGAAACGGGCGAAGGATTTATAACGAACAGAATCATCGCTTATGTTCATCCATGACCACAACACCTACATTCATTCATCCTGCTGCGACTGGTTTCCGGCGCTGCGGACTTTGATAGTTGCGACTCTCGTTTTTTGTTTTTAGAGGCTTTGAAGAATTTTAGCAGAGGCCTTCGAGAATTCAGAGTTACGTCTAGTCCACCTTTGCTTGATAAGTGCCGCTCATTGCGCAGAAGTGACATAAGTGGGCTGTGTATTCTACACGTTTTAGAGAATCTAGAAGTGATTAGTTTAGGCAGGGATTCTAGACTCATAGGTGATGTGTTTTTGCGTTGTGATGTTGCAAACCTGCTTTCAATTTCGTGGAGGGTGTTGCGTGCCTCGTCCAGAACGTTGTATTAGTCGGGTATCTGATCTCGTGAGGCAAAATCTTCTGGTTTAGGGATGCTGTAGTTTTAGGGTTAGACTGCCGAGGTTATTTTGTAACATGGAGATTGCACACCTCTTGTGTGGTTGGGGTATTGAGGGGATTCAGGGAAGATTGTGTTGCTGAAGTGGGAAGCTGTGGCACCGAACTGAAACAGCAGGGTTTTGTTGCTTTTTAGGGCTGAAGGGTGTGAGGGGAGATGGTGTTCAGGATTTAGGGTTTAGGGTTTTGTGTTTTTTACGAGTCTCTTTGCAGAGGATGGCGGGGAACAAGATGAAGCAAATAGTGCAGGCGAATGAAGATGCGAAGTTAGCTTTACAGCCCCAGGATGAACAGCTTGTTGAGGAGATTCTACCTACATCTCTTTTGAAAGTTGTGCAAGGTCCACTGTTGAGCAATTCATCCTACACCCGTGCGGTTGAAGCAGCGGTGACCGCAGTCAAAAGAGGAATTACGAAGGAGATTTGCAAGGAGTGGCTAGATGCCACATTGCGGCTTTTGCAATCTCGAAGCAACCCCCCTCTCGCCCTGTTCTGGGCGTTTGTTGCTGTTCAGAAGTGCAGTCTGGTCAGTGAGGGAGCACTGAACGCTGGGGGTTTTGAGAGTATTGGTTCTCAGCTCTCGGTAGCACAGTCTCTCCTCCATTTATTGAAGTTGGTGACGGCTGGGTTTTGCGGTGGACCTGCAGCCATAGCCGCTGCTGCTCCAGTCGTGCAGATTGTTGTCCAGTCCTTATCTACGTTCAGTAAAAGTGCGAGAGCCTCTGACGTCAAGCCGAAGATAAAGAAGAAATTGTGGGGAAGTCTGCACAAGGTTATTTCTGAGCTCTCCGGATTCATCACTCTGTGCCACCACAAAGATACATCCGCAATGCATGGCCTCTTTAAGGCCCCTTCCGCCACCACAGGACTTGACATTTGGCTTTCCCAAACCTCGGAGTATTCTTCTTTGTTCCCTTTTGCTATACAGTTAAAGTTGGATGGTTTTCTAAATCCTGCAGAATCGGTCCTTCACTTCGGGGAAATTGTTGAGATAGAAGTGGCCTTGCTGAGACTCATTGCGGAAATAGTGCACGAGCGAGTATTTCCGAATTCTTCAAGCAAGGATGAGCTAGAGAAGAAGCTGAAGCATAATATTATTATGTATGCCAAGTTGTTGGGCAGCTCAACTATCATTTTGGACATGCTCCTTGACCCGCCCTTACAGCTTAGCAGTATCTTGAGCGATAACGAAGAGGCTCATTTGCGTAACGTGCTTAGTGAGATAGTAGTGGTAGGGGTTCCGAACTCAAAGATTTTCATCGAGGATATAGGCGATTCGTTTGCAGGGGCCGCAGATAAAGATGGTGTTTCCTTTTTGAAGAGAATTGTTATCGCGCGTCAATTGGCTGCGACTTTTAGGTCACAGAAGGAGTACCTCCGAGCTTCAGATTTACTCGCAGGTTTGTACAAACGGAAGGCACCTTCACAGCTTGGAGAATGGTTGGGTGCCACAGCCTCCTTGAAGGTGTTGATCGGCACACCTGTTCTTCAGAAGCCTCAGGCTCTAATGGAATGGCTTGTGAATGCCCGCAATGCTGACTTCAATGTAGTGTTGGATAAGACATGCATAGAGCGCCTGAAGAATGAAGTACCCGAGGATGTGGCTGCAGGCACGGACATCGAACAAGACCAACATCCCGACGAAACTCTGTTCTTCATAGATACATCTAAGTCTAACGTGCCCGATGTCGCTGAGGGTGAATTCGACGCAGATCACGCATATCTCATGGCAGTCGGAAGTATGCAGGGTGCTGTGAAAGAGAATGTGCTCTTTCAAAGGTCGGAGCAGTTGGAGCGGAAGAGGACGAGGGTTGCAGCCAAGGCTGAAGCGGCTAAATTGAAACAAAGGAGAGATCAGAATGGTGCTAAATTGACAGAGCAAGGCGGTGAGCCTACCTCCGATTCTGAGGACATATCCATGTCTGAGGATGAGTCCGACGAGGAGTCGAATATGAGCCAGTAAGTTTGTTAACGAAAGCCAAGGTGCAACAGCAGGATGGCGGCAGCGTACCCGAACGAAAGATGATGCCGTTTCGCTGTGAGGAAGTTGCGGTGCAGGGTTACGTTGGACAGTAACGATCAACCCAACCAGCAAGGGGATAGTTGTGATTTAGGGCTTGAACTTCTAGATGATCTGTGGATAATCAACTACCACTCGTTTGTACACGCTTTGCGCAGTAGTAGTTTTCTTTTTTTAAAAACCCTTGGCACTTTTTCAGTCATTGTATTGATGTTTTTGCAATCGTCACATACTGTGATTCTTTTTCTTTTGTTTTGGGTTTCTCTAATTTGAAGAGTGATTCAGTAGATGTGGATGCCACGGGCTACTGAGTAGGATGCTCCTTATGGACCTTACCTGTTCCTACCAGAATCGTACATTACCTTTGTCAACGAATTAAATTTTTTCATATCCTAACGAAAATTGCTGTACAAACACTTCAAATTTTCTGATGTTTCCTGATGTCGGCATCTCAACAAACAATACGTAACTTTCGCAACTCCACACTCAAGAACAAACGCGGGATTCGAGGGACAACTCACGCCAGCCATTCGGTAATCAACTGAACCCCGCACCGACACAGCGCCTCTTCATCTATCATAGACGCGTAAGTAAGACAGCTAGAGTCATCAACTTGCAGCATGAAAAGCTGGTCGAAAGTTGAAACTTCTGGAATATAGCATTACAGTTCCTTGCAACTTTAGCATTTAAACACCGCTTTCGTCATTCGTGTGAACTCAACTGGTGTATTACACATCCCATCCCATCCCAGCTCTACGATGTGGATGCAACTCAGACACGATGCTTCCACCCAGCTGACCAGCGACAACACAAGCGTCGAGTACACAATTACCACCCCAGCCTGGAGAACAACAGTATCCCCCCCCCCCCCATTTCCCATAGAACTCAACAAAAACCTGACCATAGTGGGGTACCGAATTTTCCCAACATGAACCACGAACAAAAACCGAGGCTCACACGAACATCACCCACGTCGTCTCAACATATCAGGAAACTTCGACCATAGCTGCTGTAATTTGATGCTTTCTTACCTTCCATTTTTTGACACATCACTGTTGAAGAAATTCTCTGTTTTGGTGCACTGTTGTGGTTGTGTGGTTATTTTTGGAGAGTAGAAGAGATTGCGTGGGGATCTAGAGCCGGGCATGCAACAATCCAATACAGAGCTGCAGGCGCCATTAATGAGAAGGTCCGTTGACGGCTTTCAGGACATTGCGAGAAGCGTGGCCATGAGGGATTCACTGCATTTTAGGCTTTATTCTCGGCCTGCTCCGCCCTCACTCCCTTCCTCATTCCTCTCCTCGAGATGATGACCCAGCTTCCACTTTTGCAGGTAATGTGCTATAAATGCGCAACCAAGTCTTACCTTCTTTGCATTGTTTGAGGCTGTGGGTGCCTGCCCCTTGATCGTGATCCATTTGCTTCGTGCCTCAGCTCTGCTGCAATGCTGATTGAAAACGCCCTTCGTCATCGTCTAGATTGAACAACACTGTTTTTCGATTTGCTTTCTGTGTGTGCGTGTGTGTGTGTACCAGTTTCGTCATCCGAGTTTAATATAGACAATGGTAAGTAAATTTATGTCGTAAAACATAAATTTATGTTGAAAACTTATGTGGTGAAGTTTATGTTGTGCTTAGTTGGACATCTTTATTGTAAAGTATATGATTTGTTGTCATGGTACCTTTTGTCATCATGGTTGGGTCAGTTTTGGGTATTAATTGTCATCTCAAAAATCTCTATAGAGAATTGTTGTGTGTTAATCTGAAAATACTGATTGAATGAGCAGTTGATGTACTTTGTGAAGAATGTTTGGTATTACTTAAGTATTATTAGGATAATGATGGAAAAAAAAAAAAAAAAAAAAAAAAAAAACCACATTCAAGCAAACAACTGCAATATACTTTGGTGATGACATTTATTACTCCATCCCACACACAACACATTCTCCACTCATCAACCCTATATAAATTTCTCAAATTCCCTAAATACTTCCATGAATTTTTCTTGTTGCACCACCAGATTTATCTACACTCCCCACACTCACTATAAAATGGTCATGTCGGAGGTGTGGTCCCGAAAATGAACGGAGTATGATTGAAGGTAATCGAGACCGAAATCCAAATCAACTAAAGCACGCCGAGCATCCCAAATCAATCAAAGTCACTGACGTGATCAAGATTACGTGGGCTCATTCAGATGCTTGCCAAAGCTTTAGCTTCACACCAAGTTGGGTGGAAGAGATAGAGGAAGTGCTGCGAGTGAATTGCAGGCTGGGGGCATGAAGCAGGGACACGGTTAGAAAATAGCCAAAGATTAAAGACAAAATAATAAAAAAAAAAAAAATGATCTGGGAAGATGAATAAAATGGCAAAACTCGAGCACCCACCCCACGCGCGCACAGCGCATTTGAGGTCCACTTCCGATTTGTGCAATCCAGCATCGCTGAAGCGAACATCACCCCCCCTGCGATTGCAAATCCACCCAACTCCGGCAAGGTGGGCTCAAAATTCAGCGATGGTGCCCAACAGAATGACAAAAAGTTGGATGGATAAATCGCCACAGCTGTGGAACTGTCTGCAGGTCGATGTTTCGGCATTTACGACATGTGGGGGGGGGGGGGTTCCGTGCCGTGGACGGTGAGTGTACCCGTCACCCCGAGACTAACCGAGACTTCCAGACTAGCTTTTCGGTACCATCCAGTGAACTTTGCCGGTGTAGCTCCAATTATAGCCCACGATGCTACGCCACAGAAAACCGATCCAGAATTGTCTCTGACAGTGTCGATTTATTCCTGCAACTGCTCGGCTTCGACAGGCACAATCTTAATTTTGCGTGTGTGCATACCAGCTGCGGGATATTTGTACGTGTTGAATTCCAGCTCTGTACAGGTCAATGGTAAGTTCGCTAAATTAGGTGCTATTAAAGTACAGTCAAGCACTGCTCACGCCATCGCAGCAAGGGTTCGGAGACGGGAAAGCGGATGGATTTGAAAAAGTTTCCGTGAGGAGGCACCATGCCAGGGTGGTTTTGTTCACAAAAGCGCCATCTCGCCCTTCTACTTCGGGGACCGGACAAACCAGTCTGGCACGGCTCATCCCGCTCTCCCCACTCCCTGCCCCACCCTCCAGTCGTCGTTACCATCTTCACCTCATCATTCGGAAGCTTCTTTTCTACGTAACCCATCCTGCCATTTCAACGCTACTGGAACCCAGTGTCAACGCTCTGTAGATGCTGAACTCGCAGCGGCCGAGTGTTTGGTGAAGGATTGAGTAGCATGCATGGTTTTTTTCACCAGCACTCGTCTTGTTTGTTTCGGGGAGTACGATCGGTTCAGGTGGCATTCCCGTCTAGACAGCGGGAATGCACGCGAGTTGCTTTGTGAGACTGTGCTCCATGTTCAGATGATCGGTTTGAGGTATAGGATTAGCTGGTTTCTTGTAGCTGGAAGAGTTTCTGGTGGGTACTGAATACATGCACACGGAGATTATGAAACTTTTCGGGGATCACCAAGAGACATGAAGCCAAATGCGAGCCTCGCGGTTTTTGATTCGTTGAACTCAATGTCGGAGTGTTTTTCGACACACATTGGTGTACTTCCGACGTAATTTGGTGAAGAGGCACAGAATCGATTTCTCCAGAAATCTTCCTTCTGAAATATGCTGCGGTTCTTGAATGTCCGGGTCATCATGCATATTCAACCCGTGCATTTCTCCACAATAGGTAGGGTGATTCTCTCCCGAAAATGAAGCATCTGAACATTGAAACACGTATGCTTCTGAAACTTCGTTCGAATCAACGGATATTTGAGAGTCACTGGCAGTGCTACCTTGAGTGAGATTCAGAGTGGGCGTGATTTTTATTTTTTGTTTATTTTTTGTGTTTTTTCGTTGCTCCCTTGATAGATGCGCTCCGCATTTGACAATGTGAGCTGTCATTGCCGGTTGGGGTCAGATGAATTGCAAGAGTCTGAAAATCAATGAAAATTAGTGTAGTGCTGCCGTCATATCTTCTTGTAAGTGGTTAGCACTTGTTCTCTAATGACTCGTTTGCTTTATGTTTTGGTTTTTTACTCACACTTGACAAGTATGCACGTCACAGAGGATTTGCCGCACATCGAAAGGAGCTTGTGTGACAACAGATGATAAGTGTGTATTTCTTTGCAACAAGGGAATAGTGACTCCGCAGAGGAGATTGTACACCACCCCGACGAATTCGTGAAGGGCTCCAGCCTACCCATGGGGTAATGTCAGCAGATTTCGATCACCATGGGCGGACCCAAAACCCCTGCGCAGAAAAGTGACGGCAAGAGAGGGCGAAAGGACGCGAAGTCATCTTCCACAATGAAACCCGAGCAGTTTGCTCGAGGAGAACGAATCAGGCGACCTGGTAGACCTGTAGACCTCAAAGTGGACGTGGAGAACTTAGCAGATGTTTTCCCCCTCTCACCAATCGAGAAGTACATGGTTGAGACACCAACTGCTTCTAATCGCTCAACACAATCGCCGAGTTCGTTCCTGCAACCGGATCAGTTCTTTTCTGAGCTAAGCGTCAAGACACCGACTGGCAGTCAGACAGATCTCTTTGCCAGCGATAGTCCCCGTAGCGCTCGTAGTACCCGTAGCACTCGTAGCGGTAGCGAATCACGGAATGAAGCCATGTCGCTGGAGGTGAACTCGCCCAGTCTTAACAAAACTCCCCAAAACGCAGAGAAGATAGGAAATAGAACAGTCAAGGAAGCCACGCTAAAGTCCCCTCGTCCGACGCAGGTAGGTGAGAAAGATGGAAATAAGCCACGGAGAACTGAGGGCATTAGGCAGCAACCGCGAACACCTCGAGCAGAATATGCGATTGAACATTTCTATGAGCCTGCGAGTTCCCTGCCAACGTTGGAGTTGTGCTACGAGGGCAAGCCTGCCCCAGCACCTGCCCATTTACGTGTCAAGGCTGGAACTGGGACAGGCTCTCTCTCGAATAATCCATCGCAACCATCACACGAGAAACAAGAGACGGATTCTACCCCACCACCTTCGGACAATTTGAAGACTGAAGAATTTGAAGAGTCTCATGGAGCAGTTGACCTTCAAGGTTCCAAGTCTCCTGAGCTTCAGAAGTCCTCATCTGAAGGAAGTACGCGGCCTTCCAAGGGAGGAAGTGCTGCGATGCTGAAGTTGCAATCAACTTCGGCCCGGATAGGCAGCACCTGGTCGCCGGCCAGGATGAAGGAGAAACTGGGCAGTAGTTTCTCTGGTAGGAAAGGTAGCTCGTCTCGTGTGGATACCGATTCTAAAACCCCTCATTCGTTCCATGGAAACACGACCACGAGTGCGCATTCGCAGCCGATCAAGTCACATGGCACTGAAACGGAGGGGAATTCTGTGAAGCCCGTCAGTCGGCTGCGTCGAATGTTCAATTGGCTAGGCAGAAAGACAAGCTCCAAATCAAGTTCTGGTTTGAAGGGTGAAAAGAATGGTGGTAGTGGTAAGAGCGATTCTAAGGCTGAGCAGCAGGTTGAAGCAGATAGAGAGCAAGAGGCTAATGAGCGCGCTGCGGAGTTCGATACCGAAAAACATCATGTTGACAGTCCAAGATCCTCTGCGTCGAGTGTCAGCTCTAGTTTTTCTGATGTCAGTTCTAAGTCGTTCAGCAACAAGCATTCGCACCACAAGAAACACGCCAAGTCTGAGTCGGGGAAGTCAAAACCGTGGTTGCAGAGGGTGCATCAGAAATTCCAGGGGCGGGGGACCAAGGATAATGAAGACGACATTTTCGAAGCAGTCCGAAAGGCAACGCTTCATGATGGTGCAGATTCCAAAGATGGCGACAGTGCCTCCCTAAATGGATCGACCAGATATCACTTGGAGAAGAACTCTCTCTCCAAGCTTCTCACAAAGCACAAGCGAAATTCCACCTGGGATGCTGGCAAGCTAAGTCCAACGGATCATCCGTTCTCCCCTAAGCAGCCGCAGTTGCATAAGAGTGACGCTCATGTATTACTTGCGCCTCCAAAGCGACTTACAGGTCACGTAGGAGAAACCGAATTCCAGCGAAGGAGAGGCAAGCCGTCCACGTTGAACACAGAATCCCGGTTGTCTACTCCGACCACCACCACCACCGATGTTGCAGACAAATTGGCATCACCGAGTAACTCAGTGAACGAGACCATAGAGAAGGGAAGTGCGCCCGCTACGCCTGAAGCCAAAGCTGTAGTCCTTGTAGAGAGTTCTCATGAAAGGCATACTGAACAAGGTCTTCCACTTCCTGCGTTGCCCTCAACGGTAGGTCCGACGACTTCAGACAGGGCAGAGCCACAAAGGTCTCCAAGATATGTTTCTCCAGAGAGAGCTGCATTGAACACTCCACCGATATCTCCTGCAGCTCAGCCTTCGTCGCGGGGTAGCAGCTTCGGGTCAAGTTTTAAAGGGTTCAATTCACCCTTGCCATTGCCAGTTAGGGTTGGGTCGCGGAGCTCTCCATCGAGTCCCATCTATGCAAATTCTGTTGGTCTTTCGAAGAGCCCCGAACTTCTTGCATTATCTCTTGTTGGAACGCAAAGCACTCCAACGAGTCCTGGGTTGTATACACCATCACTAGGTTGGACAGGGATGCAGAGTACTCCAACAAGTCCTGGAGTGTGTGGAGCTTCGTCTACTAGCGGAGCTGGGTTTCAAGACTCTCTCATGGCAGTACCAGATGTAACTTCGCCAAGGAGCCCAGGACAGAATTTTGGGGAGCAGCTCCTGCTCGAGGACAGCACCAGTTGGGCTGATTCAATGGCGAAGGGCGTTCAACAGGAGCAATCGCGCGCCGATGCATCTGTGCCCAGAAACGGCTTCAAGGGGGCAAAAGCTCATGAGTCTCACAGTCCATCGTCGAGTGAAAGAGAAAGTTCGGACAAGCAGAAATCAGGTAGTGCCAGTGTAGTTCCACTGCCTCTTTCGCCACGGTCGCAGATGGTGTCCTTCGAGCAGATCGTTGCTGGTCGCGGTCGGACGCCTCCCACAGACAACACTCTCATGAAGTTTTTCTTCAAGTGCCGGGAAATTGAGCACCTGAACAAATTTCTTGCGCTCCAGAAGAAACGATTTCTGGATTCATTCAATACGGAGACAGCGAAGTGCTTCCACATGATATTGTCAGAATCAGGCAAAGGTGTGGTGTGGTCTATTTCCCACAAACATATATTGCTTTTGGTGGAACGTTCAACTATCTTCTGGACATCTACATGCATGCTCGCAGGTTTGGTGCGCAATCGTGTAACAGATAGATGATTTATCTCGCAGGTCTAAGCTCCATGGTGTCTACGATCTGCACAGCTTGGCTGTTGGAGAACACAATGGCTTCGGCTTCCGTGAAATGGCATCCCATTCCGGTGATGAACATGTGCCAGAATGAAATGTGGCAGCATCGGGACGTTGCGTGGCTTTTCCATGTCGTTGGAATCGAATCAAACGCCATTCTCTTCCTCGATGAGGTAATCCCATTAGAAACAATTCATGTTTACGTGTGCTTTGATAGAACAATCAATGTTTGAACCCTATCTGGGTAGCATTCTGAACAGCCTTCTCGACCTGTGTAGATTACATCGAGTAATGAGACGTTAGTGCCTGGGCGAGTGAAGCGGGCAGTGACTGGCCAAGACATTCTGGTTACAAAAAACGAGGTAACTTCTTGGACATTATTTGAGATTGATGGTTTGATGAATGGTCCACTTTAAGCTAGCGCGAGCTTACATTTGCAGAGTTTCTAATCGTCTGATTGTGGATGAGCGATATTGGGAATGGGAAGATGATGACGAGGTCGATGAGAAAGACCGTCGCGCATGTTAGCGTTACATTGGCTTGAACATGTTCTTCCGCTGAGGAAACAGTCTTGTGGAATGCAGGCATCCAGCTGCACCATTGTTTCTGAAAAATTTCGACAGGAAGCTCCTAAACTCCTCCAGGCCCGCTACATGAAGACGCTCCTGGTGCGATGTTATCCTCTGCTTCTAGTTCTTTCTTCTCTATGTTATCGGTCAGGAAGTAAACTTCAAGCAAGTGTCATGGAAACTGTGTCTTACGCTTTCGGATTCTCGTGTGGCTGGTGACAGCTTGCAGGAATTCTTGTGGACACAAAGAACTTGTCCGCAGGAACAGCAAGGGATAAGCAGCAGGCAACCATTCTGCTTGTGGGAGCTGGCTCATTGGGGAGAAACGGTTTCTACAATCATTGTGAGTTTTTGTGACCTCTCTGAGTTTTTGCTTGAAGAGAAAGAGAGTGTGAAGTTTTGCTTTCGCATGTGCTCAAACTCCCTGGATGTTTCTTCACCAAGGTGATGCCATGAAGACGGACGTAGATTGCCCCGTCTTCGTTGTGATGTCTGAATTGAAATGCACTCATAATTCGACATCACGTGTGCAGTGAATAACATTCGTGAAGAGAATTACGTCACCTCATTCATCAAAGAGATATACGGCGATTCCAGTGCTCTGACAGGTATGCGAAACCTCGTAATCCAGCCTTAGCTTGTGTTAAACTACACTACGTGCTGTTCGTCGGTGTAACTTTGAAAGTAGAAGTACTGAGGAACAAAAACTGTCTCCGTCGTGTGAATTGAAACGTGCTGGAATGTTCACCGCAGGGGAGAAACCATCGCGTAGAGGTAGAGGCGTCGAGACATTAAGACCGATAAGCGGCACCATACCGCCCGACAAGAAGCTAGAAAAGCCAATTCCGGTGGTCATCCCGAAACCATTAAGTGAAATCGCTGTTCCAGTCTCACCCCCAGCTCCCGCACCGGCACCGTCACCGAAAAAACCCATCACAACACCAAGTCGCAAACCCGAGCCCGAGGTCAAGCGAGAAGCCGACACCAAGCCTCCGTGGTCGACCAAAAAAGAACCCCCAAAATGGAGCCGCAGATCTGAACCCGAGATCAAAACTGACAACAACAACAACACGGCACCATCGAGGAGGAAGAGCGAAGTCTCTGTACCCGAAGGTCGTGGCGCACCACCGAATTCCAAAATCTCGCATGCACTCCGTCGGTTACGACCTCGCTCAGTTGTTCAGTAGCTGAATTGAATTGAAATGCAGCGCCTTTCCATCATCGCATCGCATTCCATCGCATTGCAGCAGGACCCACATTGAGACCTGTTTAGTTAGGATTCCCCATCCCCATTCCCTGGTACAGATTGATTGCTTCATGTGGGTCTAGAGCTCTCCATCGCATGTCGAGCAGCAGTGAGTGTACAATTTCATTTTAGTGTTTAGTTTTTTTATGGTATTTTTATGGTTTCTTTTTTTTTCTTTTTTCCTTAAACATTTCTTTCTGTCAGGCAGTGAGGCATTTCGGATTGTCTCCTCCGACGAAGCCCACGTCACGCTGCCCTCAATTTTGCACCACCACATTTCCCAAAATTCTTGGCCCACCAGAAAATACCCTCAATTTGTGTACAGTTTGCACACCGTGCTAGTGTAACATGCTTTCCCTTTATTCGACACCCGTGTTTCTTCAATTGTAACCTTGCTTCTTTCATTTTTTGTTGTTTTGGTTTGTTTGTTTATGTGCTTGTGTTTTCTATTTTCTTTTGACATCAGTTTTTGAATGTGTATTGCACATTATGTTACTTGCTCATTCTATGTTACAGGTAACCAAATTGGTTGAAAAAAGTTGAAAATGTCAACCAAGCAATATTGTTTCACTTATTTTGGAGACAAACCATGAACTTGATTGTGTCTAGCTATTAATACCTAATAGGATTCTAATGAAGAATATCACTTAGACTGTTAAATAAAGAGGTAGCTTCCTTTGTAGCACCTCTTGAAACAAAGATTGTAAAAATGTGCTTCATCCACTCATTTGCTAAATGTATTTTTGGTGTTAAGGAAACCTCTGTTATGAAGACCTTTTAGACATATATATATATATATATATATATATTCTTCAAACAAACTTAATGAGATATTTTACAAATAAGACAACCTTTTTTTACTATTATATAAGTCTAAGCAAAACATTTAATATATATGCATAATTTAAAATTTACTTATTTAAATAAGACCATTCATTGGAATTATTAACTTTTTGCATACATATTTACATTAACAATACATCAAATTAGACCTAAATAATTTAATAAATTGATTGACCATATTAATGTGTCTTAATAATGTATTTTGCAAGTATGACTATTTGTATCTTGAGTTGGAATTGTTATGTTGATTATATCTTGCATCATCATTTAGCAACATTGAATTATAAGAATTACATATCTCATAGATTTATAAAAGTTTATCTTAAAGGTGTTGAAAAACAACTATAATCAAAATCTATCAAATAAATTGATTCCTAATAGAATTAGTTGTAAACCAAATTATAATGATTTATTCTAATTTATATCAAAGAAAAATTTGAAAAAATTATATGTTTTCAATCAATTAGTAAAAAATTATCTCATACAAAGCTATTTATTTAATTTATTTTAAATTTTATATATATATATATATATATATATATACTTAAAAATAATAATATTAAAATTTTGTAAAGAAATATGTCATTTTTAAAATTACACTACAAAAGTTTTAATATCATTTCAAGGATATTTTATTTAATATTAGATTTTTTTTCTTTGCATGATGATATCATTTTAATCTAATTTATATGTAAAAAAATTAATATATATATATATATATATATAATATCATTCAATTTTTTTTCTTCTTATTTTTAAATATAATTCATAAAATATATTTTGACTATGTATTTGTAGTTGATACAATAATGATCAACACAATAATGTTTTGATCTTTCAATTCTTCAAGATTCATATTCTTGACATATGTAAGAGCACATGCTTTTTTTGTTTTGCAAGAAATTCCATAGCATCTCTAATTTTCTTCTACTTTGTTATTAATCTTTCATCTTATTTTTTGCCTTCAAGAAGAAACTCCAATTTTTCTTGTAATTTTCTATCATCAACTCAAAGAAATAATTCAATCTTATTTGGCTCTAATGTCAACTTTTCTACCTTTCATAATTAAATATATTGTCTCTCAAATTTTCTTAATAGCTTAGTTGTTTGTAAATTCTTGTTAGGTTGCTCAATCCACTTTAAGAATAATTTTTTAATAATCTAATTAATATCTTCTATGAAATATATGTCCTTTAATACATGTAAAAATATCTCTCATAAACTTCTAAAATGTTTTATAATTGAGCTTACATATTCTCTTATCTTTGATACTATAGCAAGGTCTAATACTTCAATTATTATCTCCTTGAAAAGACAATTCAATTCTATTTCTTGTATATACCATTTCAAATATTTGAATACATTTTTTTTTATCAAATTGGACAACCATTTTAACCATTAATTGCAATGCTTTGGTTGCAAAAGCTTCTTTGTAATTATTGCATTGTTATTATTGTATAGATAATATAAACACTTGAAAAATACTTACAATGGTTGGTGTCATATTGCAAATGCTTATAGTATTTAAAAATTAGTTAAAAAATATTTTATGTTCATAAATCTTGATGTGTGTTAGAATGGTTAATAAATTAATTTAAAGAAAGTGGATATAAGAAACTTTATTTTAAATTTTATGTATTTTTATTATAGTATTTAAATTATATAAGATTTAGATGTTTAATATAGAGCTTTAAGAGAAGGTGGAAGCCTAAGGATGAAAATCTAAACTATTAGGAGGCTTATGGAGAGGAATGAAATCAAGGCATGGTTGGATGAAGACAAAAGATAAAAATCTTTATCCCTATTGGTCGAAGGCCATGCCAAATGGGCATTAAGCAGGCTATCTCTGACTATAACAAGAGTTTCAGCAACTCCAAAAGAGGTGTTCAAGAATCAAAAACAAAGGTTGTAAGATTTAGGGTTTGGACTATAGCTTGTGTACAAATTTTAGAGGATTTGGAGTTAGGATGATAAAGTTATAGCCATTTGAAGTTCAAGTGTCTTTTTAAAAAATACTATTGCTGTTTTGAAAATATGAGAAGTTTTACAATAGATTTTGGAGATCAAAAGATGCAGCCACAAGAGTGATTTTGAGATCTACATCTTTTGTGAAGGAATTTCTGCATTTGGAGTTTGTATGAAGAAGTTATAGAGCATTGAAGATAGCACATGTAATTCAAAGGCAATAAGTAAGTCATTTTGTTGATAATACTGGTTGGAGCCATATCTTGAATTTCCGGATGAATTTTTAGCTCAAAATTTCCAAAAATTTGTGTTATTAAGTTAAAAATCTATATATCAAAATTTTATGGTATTTAAATACTTAGTTTGTGAGATATGAAGAAATTTGTACATGGGTGTGTGTAAGCAAGGGTTTGAAGCTATTATTAGAGATTTGGCAATATCTCAAGATCCGTAATGAATTTACTATTGAAATTTGTTATAGTAGTTGTTAAAAATACATTAATACTTCATGTAAAATTTGGATTTGTTTAGATGGTCAAATTGTGAAATGTGAGTTGTTGAAGTTCAAGAAGAATTTACCTTAAGGATATACAAGTTTTTTATAATATTTTTATCACATTTTTGGTGATCTTTGGTACTTAAGGCTTATGTATTGATGTAATTGCCCCTATAGGGACAATTTTATATATAAACTTGGTGTTTTCTTTATCTAAAGGCTTAGTTGAGCATTTAGTGATAGCCAAAAGCCCAATGCTTTCTTAAGGCAAATTCTCTCTACCACGACATTGGATCCATCTACATATGTTTTTCTTCAATAGAAAAACCTCTAGTAGCTTCACTTAAAGATCCATCTATAACTTCAATTGAAGTTGCATCTTCAACCTTCTTGTTTGTTTTTTTTTTTTTTTTTTTTTAATTAAATAAAAATAAAAATATATAAGATCTAATATCTTCTACCTTAAATCTTTTAAGTTAGGTTAATTACTTATGTTTTATTATGTATTGTCTTATCTAAGAACGCACCTAATGCTTGATTTTGAAAAATAACTTATATTTTGTAACAAATAAAAAATCCCAAAATTCTAATCAGATCCTAAATATTAATCAAATCCTAAAAACTCTTAAAGAAAACTTAAAAGAATTATAAAGTTAATCATAATGAATATCAAAAAAATAATTATTTTATTTTATTTTATTTGAATCCTAAAGAAATCATAAAAAATCCTAAAGAATTTTTAAGTTGATTCTAAAATATTAATGAAACCCTAATCAATCTTAAGTAAGTCCTAAAAACCTTAATAAAAACCTGATTAAATTCTAATAAATCTTCTTAAAATCCTAATTATATTCTGATAAATCTTAATAAAATTCTAAAAAAATCCAAACCAAAACTTATAGAAGTTATAAAATCTCAATAATTATTGATAAAACCATCAATTAAATTTGAATTTCACACACATTCCAATCTATTAGTTAACATTAAGCATAAAAAAGTTTATAAAGAAGCCAACTTATTAATTGGAAGAAAAAGCTCCAAATGTGATTGTGTTGGTTGTCTTCTTTCTCTAATCTTGTTGTTAATCTACCAAAAATTGTATTTCATTATTACATCATTCAATTGATTTTGAACATTACAAAAATATTTCAAACTAAGTTAAATATTAGCTCATAGAAATGTATTTCAATTGGACCAATAATCTACATAAGATCAAAGAAATCCTCAATAATCCTTAAAATCCAAATTCTAAGACCATAATCCAATAGAATTTTAATAATCTTTAATCTAACCATTTAATTAATTTTAAATTTAAAAAACATATTTAGTACAAGAAAATTGGCAACCTTACAAAAATTTATCCATCAGTCGACTACTATGCTCACTAAAATCTCAAATATGTAAACTTTTTTTATTTTCCAAAATTCCAAATCTCTTCAAATATCTTTGACTTTGAAAAACCCTCAATAATTAAATTACAATCCAAAGCACCCAAAAACAATGTTCAAACAAATTCTATGGAATTTTTTCTCTAATCTTGCTCTTTGATCAACAGAAAAATCCGAAAAAATCATGTAGGTGTAAACTTTTATATCTGGAGGTTTGGTTCCAATCCTAGTTCACAATTGGTCTTCTTTAGATATTAATTTCTATCTTTTATGGTTATTTTTGCTAGAAACTACTCTCAACTCTTTCTCAAAACTTCTTAGATGATTTGTTTTCTTCATCTATTTTATTTTGTCTTATTTTTAATTACACAAAGTAATTAGAAGCATAATTAACGCTAAATATTTGTATTACATCTTTATCTGTTATTGATGTCTTTCTTAAGTATAATTTATATACATTTTTTCTTTCAATCTATAGCCATGTTATAACATGATGATGTCATCATGTGCAATTTTGAAAGTTCTTAATTATAGAACATGTTTTTATTTTTTTATCATAAAGTTTATTGATACAACCACTAATGTTAGACCACGTATAGACATCTTTAAAGCTGTCTGTGACAACTCATCATGAGCAACACATGAATGCTGAGAAAAACACGTTTAGAAAGTACCACAGTCTAAAATGTAATAAATATTCTCTTCTCAAAACTTAAAATACTCTGTTTGTGCATAAACAAGAACAACTATATCCAAGTGACTTAATTATTTTTTTTGCTAACCTTAGTAATGACAAAAAATACATATACAAAACAATTGGCCTATTCCAAAAGAAGTACTTTTCATTCAAAGATGAAACAATTGGAATAATACAATTCCAATCTTATGTTAAAGAATCACATATTCTCATAAAAAAAATCAACCTAAAACTCAAGTCTCCCTCAAAGACATCACAGCATAAAAACTAATAGATTTTTATGGCAAAACAACAAATAAATTAAGTGCATATATTATTCAAGCTATTTGTAATTCATAAAAATTAGATTTCTTTTACTTATAAATTTATAATTTTGATGTTATGCAAATTAATGTATTTCATCCTTTGACATACAAATTTTGAATATTAGAAGTAAAACTTAGTGCTTCATTTCAAATGCAAAGATAAATTTTAGAATAGAATTAAGTTGAATAGACATTATTTTGCACATAAGACCACTATGATAACTTCACAATTTTTGATCATAGTATATATAAAGAACTTGAACATATTCAAGATCAAGCTGAATGTTCTAGATATGTTTTGTATATTTTTGCTGTTAAGATAGAAGGGTCAAATTACATGATTCAAGTTGTTCCAACCAAATCTGATAAGGTAGAGATGAATAAGTTTGATAATATGTGGCAGTTTTTAGAAGAGATGTATAGAAACAAGGACCTCGAATGGCTAAATGAAATAGGCAACAAAGAAAAAGAATTGAGCAAAGATCTGGGAGCAAGAACTTGTCAATCTCAACCCCACATTAAAAAGTATAAACAATGTAACAAAATCAACTCAGACTATGTTGATAATATATATATATATATATATATATATATATTTATTGATGAATTTCATGATATAGTTGCAAGGTTAGCTTTGTTTATCAAACAACACATTTAAGATGTACTTAATTTTGTTTTGCTTTCATTGGTTTTGGTTTTGCAAAGCTAAGAGAAAACAAAGAAAAAGTATCAGGAGCAATTGTTAGCTTTGGAGAAAGACAAGCTAGTCCTAAAGCACAAGAAATTGCTCTTGAAACAATTTTATAAGACTTAATCTCAGCCAACTTCTTTAAGAACATCTCACTTATCAAAATAGAGATTTAACAAGTGACTCAAGCTTTGCAAGATAAATATTATACTTTAATCAAAGATTGAATTTTGTTTATATATATATATATATATATATATTAAGTGATTTTAAATTTCATAATTTAGGTAATTATCTTTGATATTAATATTAGTTTAAATTAGATTATTTATTTTATTATTTTTAATATTGATATTAGTTGGTGCTCAACATTGATATCATTGTCAAATGATTATGATGGATTCACATCTTTTAATAGCTATGATACAAGGTACAGCTTAAGATTGACATCAATACAAAATGAATTGGAAAAACTCACATTGTAGACTAACTTTGATTTAGATTACTACCCATATTTAGTATTATTATTGTGTAAATCATATACACTATATAAACCATTTGGCAACCTCACATTTTTAACTATCTTTGATTGAGAGAGTGTTCAAAGCTTAATAATATTACCAAATAAATTTAACAACTTCAAATCTTTGCTTGTTTTGATTTAAAGAAGTTTTAAACCTTGACATTATTACCAAAAAAATTACACAATCTCACATCTTTAACAACATTTGATATAAGCAAGTAGTGGAGCTTGAAACTATTTGTAATATAAATTAGGTAACATTGTATACACCATATATTATATTCTTTCTTTTTATTTTTTTAGTATTTATTATAATTATAGTTTCATTTTTAAAATAAATATTATTATATTAAAAAGTGTAAATATCATTTGATATTTGAAATTTTGCTAAAATTTGTTAAGATTTTATATGTGAGCTATGATATGGCCTTGTATACATAAATAATATTTGGAATGCACAGTTAGAATATAGACTGAATAGTCAAAACATAAAAGACAATTTATTACAAAAAGAAAAATACTAAAATGTAGTTTTAAATAGGCATTGGATTTTGTGATAGAAGTAACCAGTTTGATAGATGTAAGTAATGCACTTTTGACAAAAAAAAAAAAAAAAAAAAAAAAACTCTGAGAAATACAGTTAATTCAAAAATATTGTCAAAATCATCTAGTTTACTCATAGTTTTGAAAGTAAAACTAAGACTTATTATTTCAAAAGCTGAAATGAGTAGTTAGCACTAATTTTGCGAATTCATCCAACATCCATCCGTAGGAGCAGACTTAAGCCCATCCATCCATAGTGTCCACGCAGGCTGCTGACATGGCATGCAACCGCTCATTTCACACCATAGGCATAGGCTCTGGAACATGGGAACGTGAGAACGGTGGAGGGGAACAAGGGCGTCCCCCTGTCTCGGCGATGCTTGGGCTCGAAGAGACTCTCCGCTGTCGCTACCCCTAAATTGCTGCACACTTTGCTCGGTTGTATCAAGCCCAGCTCGTCATTTCACAGCTTTTCGCAATGGCCGTGAAGCTCCAACCCGTTCAAGTGCTCTATTGCCCTGGTACCGTCTTCCCCCTTTTTACTGTGTGCAAGTTGGTGCTGATTCGAGTCCACCCAAGTCCTGGAACTGAAGCCCTAGGGTGGGTGTTGGGCTGAATTTCGTCAAATTTGGTCTATTGATCGGGGAGTTTTTGAATTGGGGAGGTGCGCAGTTTGCTCGATGCCGGCTGAATACTGCGAGTTCAGCCCTGAGTTCGAGAAGTGCAAGTCGTGGCTCATTAAAAACGCGCCGGATTTGTATCCGCAACTTGTGCAAGGTACAATTCTTTGGATTGATGGGGTTTGGATTGTTGTGTTCATTGTTTCTGCGTTTGAAATATGTGTTCACGTATGTGGGCTGTTTTCTCTCTAAATCGCTAAGCGCACATATCCTGGTCCATCTTGCTGGGTGAACCCGAGGTTTAAGTTCCTCTACTTTGAAAATAGGTGGTTTTTTCTGGTTGCTTCTTGTGTAGCGAATTGAACATTCAATTTGGCGTGGACATGTTTTCCACAGGTTGCGATCATATATATAGAGGTTCACGCTCTTTCATGTTGGGAAGTAACTGACAATATTTTCCTTTATTTATTTATGTTTTCCAGAGGCTGCCGATAAAGCAGCAGAAAAATTGGATGGTTTAACTGTCGGAGGAGAGGAGGATGGCGTTAAGGGAGAAGGTACAATTCTTTGATCCTTTCAGGCTTGCTGGGAATTGTTAGATTAGGTCTTACGTTTAATGTCCATTTTGGTCCTGTTCACAACTTGTTTATCTCACATCATTTTTATGGGAGGCTTATGTTGACATCATGCACTTGTTCATCTGCTTTGTTGCTCTTCTGCCGTTTTTCTTTAAATCTGTTTTGAATTTTTTATGTTAACAGTGGTTATAAAGCATCTAATTACGTTTTGTATTGATGTTTGCTTATACCTCATTGTACCGCAGGAAGCTCATCAGAGCCGAAAAAGGAGGATGAAGTCAAGAGGTTACCGGGTGGAAAAGTAAAGAAGAAGGTAACCTTTGAGGACATGCAGGTGCTTACGTTGTTTATACCCGGGAACAGGAGTTTCCTTTGTTTCGATAACCTTGATTAGCAATGAGGCTACCATATTTACTGACATGATTTTGTTATTCAGGAAAAGCCTGAGGTCGTTGTGGAGAAGATAGTGAGAAATAAGCGCAAATGTGTAACTATTATCAAGGGCCTTGATATGTTTGGTGAGTTCGGTGTACCCTTTTAAATCGTTTGAAAAGAACTACGGGTCCACTGCATAGTCTTTATAGTTGCTGTTTTCTTCTGGTCATTTCTGTCAAATGCAAGTAAAATGGTACTACCTACACAATTACCTCTACCTTTTTTATTGGACGTCCATGATCCTGTTCACCACAGCATAATTAGTGTACTTTTGAAAGGAAGTTTGCCAATTTTGATGAAATCGGATTCTGTTTTCTTTCGCAATTGTCCATGTATCGTGCTTTTTGTCTCCGTTTGGCGAAATTCGGTGCTTATGGGACGAGCATGGAATTGCAGGAATCAAGTTGAGTGAAGCTTCTAAGAAATTGGGGAAGAAATTTGCAAGTGGTGCATCTGTAGTGAAGGTAAGTAATATTACTTCCTAATAATCGGTATTTGTTCATTTATTTGGAAGAATGCGTGTGCTGATAGGCTTCAACTAACTGGTCTGGAGTGGATTAGTTGTAGTTATGATAAAAACTAGTTTGATGAGTCTAGGTTCGAGGCACTTTTTTGAGGACCATGATTTCAATTCTCTATTTATGACTTCTATTAACGGTTTGCTCGGATTCGTTGCATGTATATTTGATCTGCTACGGTAGAAGTTTCAGAAGATTCAGAAGGATTCAGAAGAGCTTGATTTGTGGTTTTGTTCTTTTGTAGGGCCCTACGGACAAAGAACAAATAGATGTTCAAGGAGATATCATGTATGATATAGTCGAGTTCATTACGGATACCTGGAAGAGTGTAAGTGGCCTGTTTTTATCATTGGGATCACATTCATTTGGTTTGCAGTATAATTCATAACAATTGTTCAACGTATTTTGACATGTGAATGTTTGTATTTCACCGTGTAAGACATGTGAGTTGTATATTTTTGAAAACAATCTGTCATTTTTGAACGTTTGTACAGGTTCCAGAATCGGCAATTTACTTCATCGAAGATGGAAGGAAAGTGTCAGCGAATGCTTAGAATTGTTCAGTTGGGTTTTTTTTGTATGTAAGTTCTCAGGAAGAGGATAGGCTCGGCATCTGTGAAGCTAAAAGATGATTGTAGGGCATGTGTATACCATGTTTTAGATCTAGGTTGAAAGTAATATTTTCGATCCACATGATATGGATAGCCACCATTGTCTTGGATTCTTTGATGAAACAATGGTGCCTGTTTCTTGGTCCTCTGCAATGCCGGGTGAGAATAGGGCGCTTGTTCTGGTCTTCCATTTCATTATTGTAGATGCACGGCCCTCTCTGTGTCAAGTGGAGGCTGTTTGCAGTTCAGTAGCTTTTGTTGACACTAGCTCGTCATTGTTGAAGGAAATTATGAATTTGGAATTAGAATGTTAAATCTTTCACATGGTCTACATGCTCTAAATCTTTCCATGTTGTTTCGTTCAAGAAGTGTCTTTTATCTTGTCTCTCATTACCTGCCCTTCCACCATATGGTCTCGTCCACAGTTTTCTATTTATTTTCTAATTATGTACAAGCTGTTCGTGAAAATTCTTATAAGGCAGAAGGTTTAGTCTACAAGTTATAAAATCCACTAGATCTGTGGTGATCACCTTTGAAGCCCTACTTTAAGAAAATAACCGCGAATTTCAAATGTCGTGCTGATACCTACTATATTTGCACAAAGTGGTTTTATTGTAAAAAATTTCAGAAAATTTATCTTTTATAAGATGAAAATAAAAATGTTTGTGTAAAATTAATTTTAGTTGCAATAAGCGATGATTAGATAGAAAGAGGTATCTTTTTTTCTATGATGATGATTAGATAGAATGATGATTTCATAAATACATGGTATGTAAAAAGTTAGATATGGATGATAACTGTTAAAATTTGATTGTAGCCTTAATAAAGTATTCGATATACATTACATTTTCATTGCATGATTTTTTATTTATTAAATATTTAGAGACTTTTCATTGACATGTGAGATTTCAAATAATCAACAATCATTAAAATTTCAAACTTTGTTCTTATTGATTAATTAATTGATTGTTTTACTTTAATAAAAATTAAATTATTCACTATGATTAACAATTACTCCAAAAAAATCATAGCCATGAAAATAACTTACTAACATTTTAGTGCTTTGAATTTGTAAGCTGTGAAAATATTATTAGATCACATTATTTTCTTTCAAAGAATAACAAAGAGAATTTCTATTAAGAACTCAAATTCAAAGAACTCAAATATTTACATGAATAAATGTGCAGACATAAGGAATTGATGTGAATGAAGACGATCAAGTGGAAAGAAAAGAGCAAAGAATGATTTTTCTGTAAAAGACCATGAAAAGTCAACAAAAAGAATATATATATTTTTAAAAAGGCCTACAATATCATTGCTATGACACACAAATCCTTCAAAATACACTCTCCAAAACCATTCACTTCGTCTAACACCCCCGTTGGATACGACACCAACAACGTTTTATAGTTACATAAAATGAGTTGGAGTGTGAACAACCTTATCCATTTTTTTCTTGACTCGAACGATGAATGAAATAGAAACGGAAAAATATTCGACGATAAATAGAATCATCCATCCACGCGAGAACCATCGACCGAGCTGGAAAGGATAAACCCTAAACCCCCGACTAGCATCGTAGTTGTCGAGGGGAAGACCTCACCGAGACATGGATTCGTTTTGACAAGGATTCGTGAAGGGTTGTGAAGAAGTGGAGCATCGAGGTCGCCGAGCTCATAAATCTCCGAACCAATGAAAGCCTGACAAATGAAATTTCCTCTGGAGGGTTGATTTGCTTTGCCTGCATGCACAAATGGAGGCTCGCGGCATCGTCTTGCAGGGTCGTCTTCCTTGCAATTCCAGTGTTTGCGTGCAGCGGAATTGCAGCTCCGTCCTTTTGCAGCGGAATGGTGAAGGATACGGGGTTTTGGTGAAGAGCAGGAGGAATGCATGGTTATCTGGAGGAGTGGGTGGTGTTTCTGGGTCCCTCGTGCCCCGTAGAGGTAGGGGTGTAAGAATTTTGAGCTTGTGGGCTGGGAGGAATAGCAAGGGGAGAGGACGGCTTGAGGTGAGGTGCAATGAGAGTGATGAAGTGGACATGCCTCCCGAGGACCCAGCTTACACTAGCTACGTCGATCCCAATACTGGCGCGCCTTCGCCTTCTTACGGTACCAGGGCGCCTTTGCCCCCTTCTGCATACTGGGGAGATGATGCGAAGCGCGTTGCGAGGTCGGGGCAGGCGTCTACTCCTAGAGATAGAGGGGAAATGACTCGTGGCAGTGCAAGGTCTGGTAGGGATGATGTTTCCGGTAGAAGGAGCCGAAACGCTCAGAGGGTGCCGAATGAATTTGAAGAGGAATTCGAAGAGGAGTTAGAAAAGGAAGTAGAGGAGGAGGAGGAGGAGGAGGAGGAGTTGGAGTCTGGTGATCATGACGAGGAGGAAGAGGAAGATTCCGGAATTGTTTCCCAGAGAAAAGAAGGTCTTGTGCCCGAGTCGGACGAGCCATTGGCAAACGATGAGCTGTGGTGGAATTTTCAGAAACCTCCCAAAGATAAGGAGCCTTGGAGTGCATGGCAGAAGCGCATGGGTGACAGTGACAGTGTACGTCCCATGGTGGAACTGAAGAATTTTCTCTTCTTTGGTTATATCAACAGAATTGAAACTTCTTTTGGGTGATGTGGACGAATGCTGTGGACTGAACCAATTGAGTTTTAAACCAGTCGGGCTGAAGTTATTATGAGAAAGTTGTTTTTATCTTACTTTCGTATAGAGGAGTGGACAATTGGTGCTGATGATAAGACGAGTAGTCTTTCGGTATATGGAGCTGATATCTGATGGCTTGATGATAGGTTATGGCAGCAGCAATGGCAAAAGCGGGTCAAATTGAGCTCTTTGGTGATAAACCCACGATTGCTGAGGCCAGTTTAGCGCGAGCCAGGAAGCGCGTGTTTTACGAGGAGCGGTAGGTGGCTACGTTTTTCCATGTATAGTACAATTATTCGTATTTTCGAGCTGCATCTTCTCGATTTATGAGGTGTTGGTTTCATGTGATCATAACTCACTGAGTTAAATAAAGTAAAGTTGAATTATTGAGACGGGTGAATTCTAAAACTAGATGAGTAGTCTGTGGAATATCAATATGTTTGTGTGCTATTATGTGTTTTCCTATCTTAAGTTGTTACTGATTTTACTGGCATGCAGAATGCGGAAAGAGGAAGAACGCAGAGAAGAGGTTGGAGCGGTGGCGTATTACCATGAATGGGTGGAAAAATGGAAGAAAGATACCTCAAACGTGGCTGTTGAAGATACGTCAAAGGTAACTGGTGAAGGCGTTGTGGATCAGCTGCTGGATATGTTACAACATCAATCTCAGAGAGAATACCGACGCATGCAGGGAACCGATTTTCGGATTGCTCGTGATCCTTTAACTTTGCGTATGCCTGAAGAGGAAATTAAACAAGGTACATCTCTACACATATTTTGAAGAATATCCCCAGTTGCAAACTGGTGAATCCTCAACCACGATCATCTGCACCTTTTAGCTAACTTTCATGTGTAGAACAGTAGATCTGACTTCCTGGAATCCTACTGGGGCATGTACGCAGTTTGGGGAGGAGATCCCGTTTATCCGACTAAAAATTACGAACAGGATCCAGATGCTGTTGCTGACTATCGGAATGAGAACTTGCATGAGCCTACACCAGACATCGTTGACAAATTGCAAGATGTAAGTTTAGGCCCAGTTATCACTATCTTTGACTCGAGTTATACAATGAACTAATCTTGCATTTCTTGCTTGGCAGAAGTTTCTATAATTTTCTGTTATCTATGTTGATCCAGAAGAAGCTGAAGTATTTCGGTGTAACTTCTTAAGTGTGTTGCATGAAAATCAGATGATATGATTTTGAGTGTGTAGTTTGCAAGTTGGTTGGGACTTGTCTTATATGGAATTTAATAAGTTGTGCTTCACTAATAGAAGGTGTTTAATACTTTAACGGTACCTTAGATATGTTGCGCATTCGATGTAAGCAACTTTAACCGTTAGGTGGAAGTTTTCTTAAATTCATCCGAAGTATTCAATAAGATTTCCTTTCTCATCCCGTATTGTCGGATTTGCTCTTCTGATGAGTTGAACTTTTTTTGCAGGACGGCATACTAATAACACGGGAAGAACTCCAGGAAATATTGGACAGAGAAGAGAGAGAAGAAAGAGAAAAAGAGCTGCTTGAGGTATTTCAACTGTTCCAGTTAGTAATATATTATTCAATCAACGATGAGGTCACATATGCATGTGTTTGTTTTGTGTAGTTTTGGTTATGATTTTTTTGAAAAAAAGTTCTTATTTTGACTCATATGTTGTTAACATCTATTTTCTCTTGCACCATAGCGTATGTTATCAACTCGGAAGATATTTGCAGCTTTGATTTTTTTTTTTTTTTTATTCTTTTGATAGAAACACAATTTAATTCCTGGAAATTTTGTAACACGTGGTGTGTTGTTCCAGAAACTGGGTAGTTAATGAAAGTGGTAGCAGGTCTTCGCATATTGTTAACCAGATAGCAATTTACACAGTAATGAATTCAAACGGGTTTGTTGTCGCAGGATGACGACGATGGAATGATAGGAGCCATTGATATTGGTGATAAAGAGGTACGACTGTGATTGCTATGTGTGCTACATGGCCAACAATTTTTGTTATGTTTTTAAGCTCAAGTTAACTATTTTCAATTTCCTTTTTAAAAAGTTTTACATCTCTATCTGCGTTGTAATTGCGGGTTGCTCTGATGAGGTGCTAATGGTTCCATGTTGGGGTTTACATTTCAGGATGACGAGGATGAAGATGATGAGGACGAGTTGGATGAGGAGGACGATGACAATTTCCAGGATGATGTAGCTTGGAGAGCGAGTATTAGCCAACATCAACTTCCATCTGGGAAGCCAAAGGCTAGTAGAGAAGCCAAGAGACTGTCACCTGCCATTGATTTGTTGGACCAAATAGATAGTTCCGATTTACTAGAATATGTTGGTGAAGAGGAAGACGGTGAAGATAGCTCCAAGGAGCTAAAAAATTAGGTCATGTCTACTTACATAATTTGATAACTTCAAACATCTCAGCTATTTCAGAACAGTAGGAAATTAACCAAGCGACAGGTACCTTATGTACATGAACAAATGTTCCATGAAGACTCTTGATATGCAATCGTTGGCCTCAGCTTCACAATGGAGCGTTTCAAGGTAGGTGGATTCCCCTTTGGCATCCTCTAGTGTGTATATATACCTTGGTTCTTGACGTGGTTCTTGTTAGCACATTATCCAAGAATGCCGGCTTTTAGTTGCTGTTTCTCCTTCGTTGAGAACAGTATAGAGATTAGGATGTAAGTTTCCTCTTTGCTGTGGCTGTTGCTCACAAGGCACTTTTCTAATTCAACGTTTTGTTATCGTCCATGTTGAGATACATGTGCGATGTGAAAACTGATACTTCGTGTGACACTAAGTAACAGCGAATACTCTTTTCATACTCTTGATTGGAGGTTACCTCAGCCAACCCATGGTATCAAACTACAAAGCCTTTCAGATTAATACATTAAAGTGAACATTTGCGCCTTTCATGTAGGCAATTTTATTTTACATTGAGATCCTTTTGGCTTGATAGGCTTTCCAAGAGATGTTTTCCCTCTTGTAAAAGGTATTGCCATTAGATTTAACTGTGTCAAAAACATGAGATTAAATTCTGTACGGTGGGCACAAGTTCGTTCAGTGTGGACCCTCCTGCGAAGCTGCAATGCGACGACTTATTCACAATTACTCATTAAGGGTGCAACCTGACTCAAAGGACTGCGGATAGTGCACTGATGATGATAAATTATAATATTCTGATACAATATATCCGCAGAGAGGGGCTGCGCATTTAGCAGAGTGTGATCTCTACGGATCTTTCAGAGTGAGTTTCGGGGAGATAATCAACTGAAAGACTGCAGGTTTTGTAACACAGCGGGTTTTTTCAGATTGCCGTCCCTGGGGTTAATTTCATGAGTGTAGTCGTGAGAACAAGAACCTAAATTGTCTTGAGCAGCATCAGTCACACGGTAGGGGTAGATTCAAAACCTAATCCCATCCATGTTCCCAAGCCGCAATCTGTAGTGTCCAAACCCAATGGCGCTGCTCTTGAAGTTCGACTAACTCATGCGAGTTGAGTGCAGCATCTTTTTAGTGCATCTATCTCAACGAAGGTGGACATACCCGGTTTCGTCAGTGCCAGACAATGGGACTGTCCATCATCTGTGGCAGCCGCAATTCAGTTCGACCCAACGAATCCAAAGCCCGGAGTCTTCGTGCCGCCATGCACTTCCTCGTCGAGAATCTTGCAAGTTTCTACATGAACTGTTACGACCTTGATACAATTTCATGTGTTTGAGGACACACACACACATATATCGAAAAAATTGTGATATTTTTGGAATATAGGGTATGATTTTTAAGTTTATTCAAAACAATCAATGCAACAAAAGCTATTATTGCTCAAGATTAGTGGTTTCTCTAATAAAAAGATCTATTCATTACCTTCGGTTCTGAATTGTTCTTTCACACATAAATTTTTACATGTTATATCCTTTGTAATTCTGTCTCGAAACAAAAATTCCACTTATGTTCATCATGCATCTATTTCCAAATTAGTTTTCACACAAAAAAAGTAGGTAATGAAGTTTGTATAAAATTATTCGAGGTCTCAGATTGCATGAAAGCTCATCTAACGGACTAAGCGGGGGGTTGGGCAGAAGCTTTGCCCCAGAATGTACAAGTGAACAACCATTTCCATCCTAAAACTTAAGGTATAGCAATCAACCGTAGAAAAGATGCAACGACACCAAGGCAATTTCACTTCTTGCCAAGGCTATAAGACAAAGCAGTGGTCGATCAACACGGACACTAGAGTCTGCTGTGAAGATAAGAATGGAAAGACGGCATTGTCACTGGAGGATCACTGCAAAATCGCGAAGGCACGAAGCTTGAGATGCAGGCTTTCAGCCACGAACACTGACACCGATCCATTGCTCTGAATCTCACACCTGTGCAATGCACAAGAGGAAATCATCAGCTCGATAAGTGTCTGTAATCCTCCAGGCTGATCGGGCTTAGAAATCGTCCACCTCAATGCCGTCTCGTAGAAGGATGTACGCATCTCGAGGCCGAGATTTGTTAATGCTCGAGATGAACACCACCTTGGTGGCTTCTGGCTTGTCCATGGTGACTGATACCACCTTGGACCACATCATCAGGATCTTGGTCTTCATGCCCTCGATGTTTTTGAGCACGCCTGTGGACAGGACTCCCGTTACTCTCTGATCATACCGCACGACGGAATCGTCTTTGAACCGCACCTCGCATGGGAATGGAAGCACTACCGCTAGCTGCCCTGTTGTTTCATCGAACTCGTACTTCAGGACGTTCTTGGGGAACAAACCCTCGGGGATTTGGTGCTTCTGTAACAGCTCCGGCAGCGGTGTCTGCACTTTGCCTGCCCAATGCAGATCACAAGCGTTGTTGATCAGCGCAGCTGCAATATTTTGCTCTAATGCATTCTCATCTCAGTCACTCACATGTGGGTAACAACCCTTGGTGACAGGCATTACGAAGAAGATGCAGTGCAATCAAGCTCGAAACCGCATGCAACACGTTGGGTTTTCCAAAACTTCCATGAAAACGAGGAAGTCAACTACCTTGTAAGCGACTGATGAAGCGTGAGGTGCCTTCGGATATGCTGCTTGAGAACGCCTGCATACATCCACCCAAAAGTAGGTTAGCATAACATCACACGCGATCTTCAAACATATGTACAAAAAAGTCAGTACAGCTTGTCTGATCTCAAAGATCAGCTAAAATATCACCCGTCGTTGGCTGCAACCCCTATATTGCCGAAGAATTCTAGGGGTTCTAAGCATAGCTGGGTCTCCACTGTATGAATCGCATATTCTCGAAACCCCAAGCCCATTCAACGTCCGTCAGATCTTAATTATCACTTCGGCGCAATTCTTAGAATGACCTGCTAAGTGATTCAAATAATGCCGAAACTTCTTGTGCACAACAATAAACAAGTACCCCTCATCCATAACACCAATTCAGACAGGGAGATTCAGGGCGAAATGCGACGACGGATATTAACAACAAACCATCATCGGGTCTTATCTCAAAGGAAAGAGTTTAAGGGATTGGGTGGAGAACAATCACTCACATTAGCGTCATTGACGAGACTGTCGGAGAAGTTTGAGGCCTTCTGGGCGAATAAGAACCCCCCTGCTTTGCTCAAAATGCTGTCCATGCTCTCACCGCCTGGTCCTCCACCTCCCTAGCCCCCACCTCCGGAAATTGTGAATGAGCTTCAACCCAGTGCGCTTCAGCAAACCCCCAACAAGTCGGTCTACGTCCCTTCCGACTCCAATTTCCCTGACTCTGCAACACCAACGCTTCTTGTGCTCGAACTCAACACCCACACCACAACCACGTCGCGAAGCTAAAAAATGTGCAGAAGTAAGAGGAACCCACAATTCACACGAGTGGAGAAACAGGCTGTGAAGTGGCCCGATCAGTTGCGTGCAATCTCTCGCTTGCTTGGGCTAATTTGCTCGCAGTTGGTGAGGCTCATGAGCCGTCGTCGGTAAAAGCCCATTCTCCGAGTCTGTCGGTCGACCTTCTTCCCAGTCGGTCATCCACATTCATCTTCATTCATCTTAATTCATCCAGATTCGGTATTATCATTCGTTCCTAGTCTTAACCGGTTATGCAGGTCAACGTTTAATTTCAGGTATTTGTAAAAGGAGGATGAATTTGATTTGAGGAATGAACAAGGGGCACATAACTGTAGCCCTTTGTTTTTTTTTTGTTTTTTTTTTTTTTTATAGGATAAATAAATGTGAAGTTAAGAATTTACAAAAAATATTATTAAATGATTTAATATTTTGTAACATAACAATATGAAGGTAGACAAAACAAGAAGCAACTATTGAGAATGTTTAGAAAGACACGAGAGTAATAGTAAGTAATACACACACACAAGAGTAGTAGTAAGTCATACACACAAGATGGTTTCGAAGGAGAGAGAGCTTTACACATAAAAATCTATTGATCTGGTTGTGTCTTGTATACAAGAAGAGAAAAGGGGAGAGGATAAACAATACTTCTCCACTAGACTCTAAATAGTGTAGCTATGGTATTTACTATAGTCTACAGTAAATATTATGGAGAGTGCTGGTTACATTTAATGATCTCAACAGCAACTACATTCATTTCAGTTACAACCATTCCCACAAAAATTATTTGAGAAATAAGTAAAATTATGCATGAACTTAAAAACTATGTGTATTTTTTTTATTTTGGTGTGGCATACACTATTTTCCATATCAACAAAAGTTTAATTAAATTTTTTATAATACAATAAAAATTTATTAAAAATTAACAAAATCATCAATTTATAGAATCATTATATGTTTTATATTGCAAGCCATTGAATAATAAAATATATATATATGTATATATATATATTTATATGAATACATAGCAATAAATATTTATATTTATATTTTATATATTCTATCTTTATAAAATTAAATTTAGAAACATATGCATAATTTTAAAATACACATAATTAGGACTTTTTAATATAGTATTTTTTTATATTAAATAATATAAGACATAAATTTAAGAATTTATTAAATTAGCTCAAATATTTACTGAATCAACCTATCCATCTTAATCATTATCAAAAATATTTCCAGTGTTGGATTTGTATCAGTTCAAAATCAATGAAAAGATGGTTGGATCCGCAATCAATGATAGATGGATTGATTTAGTAAATTTTTGGATCTATTTAATATTTTTAAATTTAATTCTAATAAAATATTTAAAGAATATTATTAGAAATTAGTAAATATAAGCTTATTAAGTAAAAATAGAATAAAATAAAGTTTATTTCTTCTCATAGTAAAGATGTGCAATTTATTTTTTACTTTTTATTTTTTATAGCAAATGGTATTTTTTGGAGTACAATACCACTTCCAATGAAAAACCTATTAGACTTGAAGAGTTTTTGTCTTGTCAAAAATCCATTAAGAAGAAGTTGCCTTTAATGCAAGATATAGTAGGCATAATGCAACTAATATTGCCAACATATGAAGGTAGATAAAATAAGAACCAACTCAAATCCATGCTTGATGAAACAACTTGCTTAAGTTAGCTTCCAACAATAATTATAATATAAATTTAATCACTACAACTTTATTCAAGAACTTGTGCTTGTATGTGAGTTTTTAAATAAATGTATTGCTATACAATGTTTTCAATTAAATCTAGTAAGATTGAACTAAAATTATAAAATCAACAATTGATATGTTGAAAAAGTCCATAAGAATATAAAATAATTAAAAATGTATCTCAAGAGTTGCTTTCATAGTTGGATAATATCACTATAATGTCATTAAAACTAACAAGGTATAGAGAAACAATTATATATTTTTGTGTTATAATACAAATATTGGATTAAAAAAAAAGAAAAACAAAACGAAAAAAAACAAAGAAGATAGTATTATGGAAGAATTCATTTGAAAATATAATAAATTATTACTTCAAAACCAAAGATAAAAATTAGGGAGGTAATAAAAACAATTTAGTTGTTTAGGTGTTAATATTATCTTTTTCTAAAAATGAGCTTTTATTTGATTTATAAGATTAGCAAAAATAATATTACAGTCATCTTTAGCTAAAAGTAAAGAGTAGCTTTTAGCAAAAATTATGTAGAAAAACCTTAAATTGATACCTAGAGAGGACCAATTGTGAATCAAGGTTGAAATTAAATCTTGAAGCACAAATCAAACACCTACAAGAAATGGGAGATTATTTGTTGATTAAAAAATAGGATTAGAGATCAAAATAGATAAGATTTTTTAAAATATTGTTGCAGATATACATATTTACTCTAATAATTACCTAAATATTATGAATAAATAAAAATAGATTAATTTCATAATATCTTGTTGAGAAGCTTCTTAGAAGTTATATAGACGTGGTTCCACCTTTATATGTATCTATAAGTGATTGATAGGTTAGAAACTTAGCTAATAAATTAGCTACATATTGCACATATTGGTAGCTTGTGGTATAAGCTAACAATGTGGCATATATATATAAGAAACTTGTATTATAAGTTAAGACATGTGTCTTGCAAATTGGACACGTATCAAAGATCCAATAAAACGTCATCATGTAGCTTTTAGTTAGATAATATATATGGAGGCAAAAGTGAAGCCTTCTTCACTCTTATCAATGCTTTTTTAGTCCTCAATCTTGTTTCAAGACTTTCTAGTCTTCTTGTCTTTGGCAATAGCCATTCGAGTTTTAATATTATATTATTTTTGACTAAATATCTATTCTTTTTGAGTTACACACAAGTATATTGAGTTTTTTTGTTCTTCAAGATTCATGCTCTTGACAAATGTTGATTTTGAGAGATTTGAGTGGATAATGGCTTTATAAGAGCTTTATAAAGTTTGGGTTGTTTTATGTGACTTTGGTTTTTGTAAAATAAAAAAGATGCTATATTTTGGTGAAATTTTTGAGTTTTGTAGTAGATCTTTAAATAAAAATTTGAAGACATTTTAATATATTTTTTTGATGTATATTTTAAAATTAAGTTTAATTAGACGGTCAAATTAAAAATAACTAAGCTTCATATGAGCTAGAATTTTAGAAATTGGATTTTGAAGATTAGTAAGGGCTCTTATGATTTTGAGCAATTTTCTAATTGGATTGAAATTAATTTTTTGTCAACCAATAGTTGACTTAGTTCCTAATATTTTTGAAAATTTTGAAAGCAATTGAATAATTCAAAAGGGAGCTATTGACACTAGAAGGTTAATATTAAGGTTAAAGAAGAAAGATGGTTCACGCCTAAACATATTAAATAAGTTTTATAAGTTGGACATGTGTCAAATGACATATAGAATATTGCCACATAGTTTTTTAGTTAGATAGTATATATAGAGGCAAGAGTGTGGCTTTCTTCTTTGTTGTTAATTTCTTTCTTGCTTCTAATCTAATTTCAAGAGTTTGTAGTTTTTTTGTCTTTGACAATAACCATTTTAGTTTTTTTTTTAATATACGTACTTTCTCAATTCTTTTATGTCATCTTTTTTTAAGGCACATCTCACTTGTTTAATTATATTCTTGACTTTCTTGTTCTTAATAGGTATTTAGTCAAGATGACTTCAACTAGTATAAAAAAGTGGTTGTTTATTTTTATTTTTGCATTTGCCCTTCATTAGCTCCTTTACTTTCCCAATTAAATGATTTGCAAAAATGACAATTACATAATTCTACAATCAAACTGATTTTATTTTACAAAGTTACTCACAAGCCCAACAACTCTAAACACAAATTTTAAAAAGAAAAGACATACTTAGGATTTATTAATCATATTTTTTCTTTAACAACACAACAAAATTCAAAAAATACTTATACAACCAACAAGCACAATTATTACATATTTGGCAAGTTTTTAAAATGTTCTATTCATTTAAGACATTTTTTTTATACTATTTAAGGACACATAGCTTATATTAATTAAATTGTCCTACATTAGAAAAGTTTATGCACAACAAGTGTATTTTTAGTGCAAAAAAATATTACTAAAAATATTAAATAAAATTACAATATAAAATGCTTGATGGAAAACTTCTTAAATCTTATATTATGTTTTAATACTGTAACAATATTCATGTAATTTGCAGAAGGCACGACCTTGTGGTTCCTAGAAGAGTCGAGCCCTCCATTGTTGCCTGAAAATTCATCCAACACTGAAGACCTCAAGTATACACTCTTTTGGAATTAAACAAGATGAGAAATTTATATTGAAATTCTATTATTTTTAGCAACGAACTTATGATTATGATGTCCACCAAGACATATGACACCATTACATTTTGAGCACGGTAAACGCCAAGAAAAGATTCAAAGAATTCAATCCAACGTTCATTCAACTTAGCAACAAAAAACTTGTTTGTTTGTTTGATTGTTTGTGTGTGGATTCCTCAAATCTTTATATGGCCTTAAACGAACACCTGGTATCCCACAATTTCTAGTGTCTCACAAGATGTAAGAAATTACCATGTTGAACCACGTTATCAGTTTTCTACGCAAGAAAAGCAACCAAAATGAAGCAATTCTTCAGTATACTCCCACAAAAACTACATTTTCCTTGTGCAAGGATGATCGTATAAACCATAAAACTCTTAACGGAACAAAAAAGATGGCGCAGTAAAGGTGGTTACGTACAATGATTGCAAGAGCTAAGACGATGATAGCTAAGTTTGCAAGAGCAAAGATGCAAAATAGAATAAATTGCAAGAGGAATGACGAAGACAGCTAAGATCGCAAGGGCAAAGATTAAAAATAGCATGGATTGCGAAGTTTAATGATTCGCAGATGAGCCTGTCCTGGTACACATTCGCACAACATGGCATTTAATCCAGAGCTGAACCCTCACGGTGTCATTTCCGCGCTACTATACAAAAGTGAAGAAGTCTAACCAGGTTAGTCCGCTGCATGCTGGCTCCGCTCCTCCTCATAATAGAGCTTCACGAGAATGTACAGTTGTGAAGAGCCTCCGAGGAGTATGCATCGGCTTCAAAACATCACGACTACTCAAGACTGGGTGTAGAATTTGTGCACCATGACATGCCTGTAGGTTTCACCGGGGCGGACAATGATGGAAGGAAACCTTGAGTCGTTGACAGCATTAGGAAATCCTTGAGTCTCAAGGCACAGGCCTGCGTGAATGTTGTACACAGCTCCGCCTTTGCCAACTATCCCATCCACATAGTTGCCGGTGTAGAACTGGACTCCAGGTGCCGTGGTGAAGACCTCCATGGCGCGCCTGCTAACGGGGTCCCAGACCTTGGCGGCGATGCGGAGTCCATCCCCGAGCAAGTCACCTCCATTCAAAGGATGCAAATCCCCTGCAGGATCTTCGAGGCCGCTTCGGAGGTCGAAGTTGTGGTCGTATCCTCCAGGGACGTCGTTGATGCGGCTGCCGATGGATGCCTCTTCAGTGAAGTCAAACGCGGTGCCTCGAACTGGTACAATTTCACCCGTTGGAATTTGGGTGTCGTCCAGGGGAGTGTAGCTTGTGCTCCATAACCGCACACGGTGTTGAAGCACATCCCCACTTCCATGGCCCGCGAGATTAAAATAGCTATGCTGGGCAAGATTCACAGGAGTAGCCTTGTTCACTGGCTTGGCCTCCATTTCTGTCCGGAGCTCACAATCGCTGCTTAGGGTGTAAGTCACGGAGACATCAAGGTCACCCGGATACCCTGTCCAAAAGAAGCAACAATCAACAGAAAATTGCATGAGTGCACATGACTTGAATCAGGATTGTATTGTTGACACAAATAATTGAATGAATATGCTGGAGGAATGCGTCGTCTGTGTAATAAGAAGCACATATGAGTACCTTGTTCACCGTCATGGCTGTGGTAAGTGAACTGTACTGAAGGGCCATTGCCGTCCGTCACCTTCCTCGCTTCCCACAAAACTTTGTCAAACCCGACGTAACCACCTGAGCAAACATGTGATATATACGTGAAGAGTCTCCGATGCAACTGGATAAACAGAATGATTACAATTGACCAAGTGAGCAATGTGTTCCAGTTAAAGTACTCTAACCATGCAGGGAGTTGGGTCCATTGTTAACTGGCAATGTGAAGCGCTCCCCATCGAGGATGAAAGTGCCGCGCGCGATCCTGTTTGCAACGCGACCAACTATTGCTCCAAAATATGGTGATGTGCCATCCTGATCTCACCGGCCGCCACGGCATAGTTTGATTACAGTACAGAACGTTACCTTTAAGTGGACCCAGACTCATAAGAAAATAGACTATTCTTACACACGATATACAACAGTAAAAGCAGTCTCTGAGATGGTGATTGAAGAGAATTAAAAGCATGGGTTACCGTGTAAGGGCCCAAGGTGTCAAAACCCAAGACAATATCACCGATTTCTCCTGCAATTCAAGTCCAATAACGAAATCAGCATCTCATAATTCTACAATTTTCTTACCGATATCACAAAGCTGAGAAGCTCAGCACAATATTCTTGACACTACTTGTCCGCGTACGGTAGGGTTTCTCGTGGCTAGCTCGAAACTGAACAATCCAATGGTTTATTTCATACGCAGCGATACTGAATCACAGAATTTGCAGTGGCATATCATGACCCTTCGTGGGCAACCTCACATCAACGCCGTTGGTCGAAGTTTGAGAAGCGACGAATAGATTCGTCACAAAAGGTGCTTGGTTGCGCCACTTCAACGTGTGACTACGCACGAAGCGATACCCCACCTAAGGAATGTGCTTCGGAGATCCATCCTCCGATAACAGAATCAGCTGTGAGGAGCTTCTTGAGAACTGACGACGGAGAAACGTTTAAGTCACCCAGGCAACTAATCCTCTAACTATTTTCTTCGACCCAACAGCAAAACCATATTCGGAGACCAGAAAACGAACCCCGACGCAGCCATCTAACATGTAAATTTCCAGCCCCCCCCCCCTCCCCCCAAATTTCCCACGTGCAATCGTGCATATGCTACATTACATCGACGAACATGCCCGATCAACGAGTATCTTGCTTCATAAATGACCGCCACGTCGTTTTCTTCAGGACGCAAGACGATCGACACACAAGGCTCCAACTCCTCCATTGTTGTTATCTTCGTAGACCACAATTTTTGCCGACACAACGAACCGAGATGGACGCAGTATCCCAGCTTGCCAAACAAACAAAGGCCAATCGAGGTTACAGACACGCATGGTTACCTCGTGCATCAGGCACACACAGCGACATGAGCGTGGCGCCCCAGTTGGTGAAGACGGCGCGCACGCCCCCGCGCTCCAAAGTATAGAGGAACACCCCATCTCCAACGCACTCTTCCGTCAAGTTGCCCTTGCTCACACCCATGCTTACTCACCGAGTCCCACAGTTGCCAAATTATGAATGCCGAACTCGTCTTCTTGCGCCCCCCTCTGCGATCTCTGCCGCGTACGCTACTTTCCCAGCCAGAACCTACAAACTGCCTCACGTCCAGACGCTCGTCCGAGTCTTTCTCCTCGTCCTCTGTTCTTAATCTCGGCCCTTTTCTCTCATAAACTCAAGTCTGACTCCTGTCTTCCAGCGCCCTTCGGCCATACAACCCGACGCACGTTCTCTATGTCGCCGGTTATGCACTCGTTGTCCCTGTTATCAATCCGTATATAGTGGAGCATTCCATTCCACTACACAAAAATTCTTTACTCTTCAAACTGATATTGCAAGCTTTGAAAATTGAAGGTGACAGAATGCGCGCGCTTCCAGGAGAACAGCAGGACATTTTAGAAGCTGCTGAATAGGAAGAAAGTCTGAGGCTACGCATCCGTGAGCTTTGAGCAGGTGGGGTACAGAGTCGTGCACATTTTAGGTATTTCTGGAGGATTGGCAGCCACCGTCAAGTGGCTGCATGGCATGTGGCTTTGGTTTTGTGCAACTGAAGAGTTATTTATTATCTCAGTTTCTGAAATTATATTCTCGGCGCCATGATGATAATGGCGCCTGTGATTCAATTGTGGGTGTACTAATCTATCTGCAAGTGAGTTTGTTTGGGCAACAGGTGTGCAAAGTGACGGAGGTGGCACTCGGGTAGCCCTATCCTTTCTGGGATGTGGAATGGTGATAGATGACTGTGGGCCCTTGGCTCTGTTACCCTGCTATGGTGGAAAAGAGGGTTAGCTTTTCGGGTATTTGTACTTGTAGTTGTAACGATACGTGTTGAAATGCGGTTGTGACGATTCTAGAGTCGTTGTGGGTAGGTCATCCGTGATCACGGCCACAAGGAGATGGTTTAGCCACGAGGGAAGATGATCAAGCGCTATCTGGTGCGTCGCAATTGGTGGTTTTACGTTGTCTCAGCATGGTGATTCAGCAGCATGACAGAGCTCCATCGTTGGGTCCTTCCGAACACTGCTTCTCTGTCGAAGATCCGAAGATTTCACTGTTCGAGGAAGAAGGCGCAATGTCGTCCAGCGGCGGGGAAAGGATATTGCCCCAACGATTGGAACATCGGGTTGACGTTAGGCATCGGGAAAGGGTATTGGGGGGTAAGAAATTGTTTCCCATTGCAAGGCGAATTTTCACGTGTTGGATTAGACAGAGGTTTGAGGAGGGATTCCCACATTCAGAGGTTACTGGAATTTCAATTGGGTTTAAGTGGAACAAGATGGAAGAGCTCGCGGGGGCTCGTGGAAGCTCGTGCTGCCGGATCACCTACTCCTCCGCGGAGATCTTGGTTCAGGAGGTTCCTCTTTGAGAGCATTGAAATCCCAGATTTGGATATTGATCATGATATTGCTGATGAATTGGAAATTCCTAGAATGTATGAGGATGGCATACAATTTGAAGAAAGGGCAGATGCGGTTGTTGGCGAAGCAGACGCGGTGGATGAAATGCTTGAGAACGACAGACGGTTCTTCAGGTGGAAGATTAAGAATGAAGCACAAAACGATTTGCGGGACTATCAAGCCTCTGGAGCTGACCCAGACAGTAGAGATTGGGAGGATTGGCTGGATGATAGCTGGAATCAGTATGGGGACAATTTGGCTGGAAGAATGGATGGGTGGTATGAGCCTTCTTCCAATTGGGAGAAGGACGGGGTACCTCGTGACCCTCCCTCAAAACCAGAGCGGGGTATGAAGAGAACCATTAAGGAACTCTTGTTTCGTATTTTTGAACCCGAAGATGAAGTTGTGGACGATCTCCAATTCGAAGAGCGGGTTTTCAAATTTACTTCTCAAACCACTGTAAAGCCAGCATCTTCCTCACGTTTCTACAGCTGCAGTCATTGGACTCTTATGCTTGGCTCCATTTTCCACTCTTTTTTAGACACTTGAGCACATTTGTAAATTCAAAATTCTGTCAGATGTACGTGTGGGTTTTGGGTTTTGGGTTTTGAGATGTAGTGACAACCATCATTCTTGCCTTTCGTACATATTAGATAATTCAAATTTTCATTTTCATGAAATTCATTTCAATCTACCTCACCTTATCAAGAGCTTATTGATAGCCTGAGGGGTATCCCAACACACACTCAGATGGCAAACCTAAAGTTTAGCAAGTGTCCTCATTTGATCACGTTGTCTTTTACAGGCCAAATTTGTAGGAGTTCTCATTTTTTTACCGTGGATCACAGACTTCACCATTCATGATCATGTGTTGGTTCCGTTTTTGCAAACGTAAGTGACTTGGCTATTTTCTTGCACTTTCTCTCCAGAATATTGAATAATAGCGTAATTTCCCTTGTTTTCTTATCGTATGTAAGCTAGCACGTAATTAGGCAATGTTGAATCAGTAAACTCACGAATTTTTGGCATGCAGGTATGTGGAAAAAGTTCCACTAGCTGCAAAGATTTTAGATGTGAGGGAATCTCAAAAATTGAAAATAATCGAATCACTCAAGTTAGAACGCCAACGTCTGCGATTTGAGGCTGAGATCGGTAAAGCGCCTTCTCTTTCCGATGACGAGCTATCTGAGCATATTCGCGAGGAAGCGTACGTTACTCCGCTATTATGAGTTCCCTCAGCACCCTATATCGTTGTATTTTATGGGAATGTAAAGTTTGAGCTTACTTGAATATTAGGCACGTGTGTTCCTTAAATATGACCGCCAGGTGACTTGTGGTTATTGTAATCAGGATAGATTATGAAAAGATTGCACCAGAAGATCTACATACATTTCTAGAAGTCAATGTTTCAAATCAAATGATGCCTGGCTATTCTACTTAATGTATAATATGATCGTCGAATTCGGCAATGGTGGTGACGCTGATTACAATGTATGTGAAGAAGTGTGCGATCATAGAAAACCTTGAGGATTCTTCTAGTGTTCAGTGAAACGTGTGATTCAATGGTACTGACGCTTGAAGTTGGTGAATTCAGGTTAGAGCTGCGAGAGGAGTACAGACTGGAGAATAGGCAGGCTTTTGCTTCGCTTGGGTCTGACTTTATTGCAGGACTGACGATTCTACTTTTGTTAGTATTCAACCCCCAGCAGGTTCGACTTCCTGGATCATTGGCATTTTGTTCTGATTTGAAGTTGCACATGTTTCTCTTCAATTTTTTTTTTTTTTTTTTTTTTTTTTTTTCTGTCGATCATTCACTTTTAACAGTTACATGTTGGATGCTCTCCGCAGGTCGCTATCATGAGGTTGACAGGTGAACGTTTGTTTACAAACATCTCAGATACTGGGAAGGCTTTCATTATCATTTTGCTCACGGACATATTTTTAGGGTAAGGAAGAGACCGTGTAGCTGTCGCTATTTAATAGGAGCTAAGTTTTTGTTCGGGGTTATTTCTGCTTTTATCAATTAATAATGCATGCAGAGATTTGTTTCCTACATCCGGTGCTTCAAACAATTACAAACGTATCCTTGTTACAGTATCCCTATTTGGCTTGCTTCAAGTCGTTTTCGTTCTAAGTTTTGATAAGGAATGGCATATTGTAGAATTATTCAGAGGCATGTAAACCCACAACTATGCTGACGGGAGCTTTCACCCAAGCTGTCATAAATATAAAATTATGGTTTTCGGTCCAAAGGTGATCAGCTTTCCCTACAGTTGTGTAAGTGCTCTTCCTGACCCTGGTTGGTGTTGACACTGTTGCAGATACCATTCAGAATCAGGCTGGGAAACAGTCTCAGAGATGGTCCTTGAGCATTACGGAATTGAAGTCTCACAAGCGGCCATTTACATATTTGTAGCCATTGTGCCTGTGACAATCGATGCATGCTTCAAGCTCTGGGTATGTAACTAACTGCTTGCAAATGATATGTAGTATAAATCGCTGATGCTCATCCACTTTTCAGATTACTTTGTAACCGATGGAGTTTCTCGTAGATGCAACGTTAGCGAGCTTTGCAACTTATCTGCAGCTTAGAGACGGTTTCCTGTCGTTTAAACAAAATATTGTAGTTACCTTTGTACAAATTAGCTGGTCGCACGGATTGCATGCATAGCCTGGGAGATCCTGGTACGTGCTGAATTTCTCTGCAGATATCAACTTCACAAACCTCTTTTCAGTTTGCTCTCTTGTGAAGTGGAGGCTGTGAAGGTTCCACGCAAGCTTTTATCAGGCTCATGTGCCCATTGGCATGGGTTTCCTTGGATTTTACATTGTTCTCACAATGAAGAGTGCCTGATGCAGGTGTTTCGCTTTTTTAGAACTCTTTCTCCGTCCGCAAGTGCAACATTTCGGGAAATGCAGCGGCATTGACTTCCATGTATTTTACAGAAACGTAGGATTTATTCCTGTCACGAGTAGTCTTGTCCACGTTCCTGCGCAGGTCACCAAAAAATTTTCATTATAAGATTCTCTCTCCCCCTCTTTCTTGCCAAGGTGTCTGCATTGAAATACCTTAGTTACGCTCGAGAGTATTTAAGTTCCACTTTCCACTCAAAAAAGCTTTGCTACCTTTAGGTCTCTTCAAATATACATAGGTTCAAGCTCATATTTGTATTATATTGTCTTGTAGGTAGAAATGCATCTGCTACTATATGCATTTCTGCTACTATTCTCTTATACAACCGTTGTTTCGAGCCACTTAAAAGATTAAATTTGGTTTTATCATTGAAAGAGTGAGCGTTGGCAGTTTTTGGTCAAGTCAAGTGCTATCTGCAAGACATGAGAAGGATTCAGTTTCATTCTTGTGAGTATGTTAGTTTTGTAGAACTTTAGAGCTCAAACAAAAACAAGGAAAAGTAACAACTCTAAATCCCACCAATCTTGCTTTATACGCAAAAATGTGTGTGTGAATCGATGGAAGATGAGATTGAAAATTCAGTAATTACTGGAAATTAATGCTCATGGAGTGGCATGGGGACAATGTGATCATTGATAATGAGTTGCTTCAAAATTGTAGAGTTTTTTTTTTTTTTTTTTTTTTTTTTTTTTTTTAAATTTAATTCAATAAGTTAAGATTTACTGTTACTTCTCTGAATGATGTGTAGTAGCAACATGGGTGCACATTAATTTCAAATTGTTTGATTCATATACAGGTCCAATGCTAATTTTAAAATCCTAGGATACGAATAAATTTTATGCCAAAGATTTTTTTTTTTTTTTTTTTTTTTTTTTTTTTGTGTATAAATGTATAAATGTTCAGAGTGGTAACATATCATTCATCACATGAACTTCCAGTTCATAATTTATGTTTTTATTTTATATTTATTTCAAAATATAATATTCTATTAAGGGTAGTGATAATGTCACCATAGTTTTTTGCTACTGCCACCCCAATGTGCCATTCACTCAACAAATTATTTTCTTATGTGTTTTTTAGTTTTTTTTAAGTGTGTTTTTTAAGTGTTTTTTTTAAGTGTTTTGTTAAGTGTTTTTTTATTATACATTCATATTCAGTAAATCATAATGCAGCAAATTATAAAACTTTACCAGCAATAAAATTTCAAGGTAAAATTATTCTTATTTAATGGCATTGCAAACACCAAGCAGTCTAAACACATATCAAACATGCAGAACCTACAGTGTTTGTTGTTATTGCAAAAGGTTAATCCACTTCATTTTACTTCCATATGTACACACACATACATACATACAAACAATTCATTCTAAAAGTTTAAAAAGATCAAATGTAAGTGAAAATAAATAAAAAAGTTTGAAAGGAAACAGAGAGGAGGTACAAAGAAGTAAAGTTTCAAGTGCACACACACAGGGCTACCAAAAAAGACCCCAAAGAGTCAGAAGTGAAATAAATAAGATCAAAGCATCATGTTGAAAGGGCCACCCATTCATGAATGTGAACCAAGGCTAAGGCAGGGATTTATGAAGGGTGCCATGTCAGCTTTGCTTCCCTCGGAAAGCACGGGCTGCCCAAACTTGACGGCTCCCAACCAAAACATTTTTTTCCACATGAGCAAGTTGGCTGCCTGAGGCCGGGGCAGACAAAAGCTTGGTATGCATTAGTTACTACGCTGTAGGGAAGATGGACTTGCAAGAGCTTTTGCAGTAAGTGGCCCGTCACTTGGGTCATTTATTTATTCTTATTTAACAACAAACACACACTCCATGACATCTCTCTCTCTCTATCGCTCTCTCTTCACTCTCAATACTGACTCACTTCTCATACATGTTGCGTAAAATTCCATTGCAATCTCTCATTATCTCCATGAAGTTTTTTGTATCATTGTTTGGCGTAATGGGTTTGTCATGGACATGAAGTTGATTTTACCTTGTGAACTAAATCATAATATGAGGATGTTGCAACAAGGAAAAAAGTTAGGTATTAAGATCTGACCATCATGGGATGGAACAGTTAATAAAAATAAATATGTGAATATTGATGATGTATGTTCATTTGTTTGTTCATTGAATTGTGTTATATTGTACCTTCCATATGTGTAGGGAAGGTACAATGTAACAAGATTCAATAAAGAAGTTGACAAGGATTTATTGTAGAATCTCTTGTTTGATTTTGAATGTTGACTTTACTTTTGACATGCCATTTTAAGGTTGTGCATTGCAAGAAAGAAATTGATTCTTTAAAAGTTTGAATGTTACTCAAACATGTAAACAAATAACAGCAGATGGAAAGTTTTAGTTAAAATATATTTAAGTGTGAACTGATAAATAAAGTTTTCAGTTTTTTTTTAATAATAGTAAAAGTAGAAATTTCCAAAAAATATATTTATCATATTTTGTAGTTAAGGTTTGTGCCATTAGTTTCTTTGAGCAAATTTTAAAGATTATGTGTCTTTATACATATATATACATATCAATTTCTTTTTTCCACTCTGTATTCAAACCCATAAAATTAACCTCATTTTTTTATAGTTAGAATTGTATTATATGTATATATAAATAATAATAATAATAAGAGAAGAGAAAAAAAAAAAAAAGCAAGAAAAACACACTCCTGGACAACAAAAAATTGAAGATTTTTTTTCCATCTTACATAGTAATATTACTTTATATAATTTTTCGTATCTATTAAAATCAGAAATTTATGCTTTATATAAAAATAAGCAGATTAAGTAGTTTTAAAAATTCAAGAAGTAGAAGTAAATATAAATTTCATAAAACCAAAGCAATAATTATAATTATTGTACCAAAATACAAGATCATTTGCAAATCACAATGTCAAAAGGATCAAGAACACAATTTACAGCACTTGAGACAAACTTATTTTCATTTCTACTTCCAATTGTACAACTAAAGAAAGAAATAAATAAAATTAAAAACTGTGATTTGATCCAAATTAAAATTTCTTAAGATTTAACCAAATAACATCATTTCTTTCAAAGCAAGGATTCAAAAGATTTCCTCTTTTCTTTTCTTTATTCTTCCCTTTATATTATTTTATTTTGTTAAAGTAAAATTCTTTAAAAGTTCAAAACACCTCAAACTTGCAAAGGACAGTCACAAAACCTTTTGTTTGCATTTAACCAACAGCAACAAGCTTTTACATTATGAAACACATCCTATGCACCCATCAACCATCCAAATTACAGTAAACTCTGACCACTCCTGAAATAAATACTTTTGCAACAAAAGGAAACAATCTTCAGTGACAAAGAATGCCATTTCTCACATCCATGCATGGGTTATTTTCATTACAGAATGACAGTAGGATCACACCCTGAACCTCCAAACACCCATTTCATTGTAAATAAATTAAAATAAATAAATAAATAAAATGTGCCCCAATGAACCCAACGAGGCACAAAAGTGAAGGGAAGGGAAGGGAAAAAAAAAAAAAAAAAAAAAAAAAAAAACTAGGTTTGGAAAAAAGAGACCCAGAGTGTGAGTTAATGAGACCCAGTAATGGGGCGCTGTTCCCAGTGAAGACCCTGAGAGACACATAATAATAAAGCGGAAGAGAGAAGGGGAGTTAACTACAGCAGCTGAGTAAGTTAAACATCGCCTGCACAAGAGCATGAAAATGAATGCCCCTTCCCTTCTCTGTACTAATCCCATCGCTGCATTCATGTCCCTGCCATGCCCATAAGTTATAAACCCCTTTGAGGCTGTGTATCTGTATTGCTAGAATACTAAGTTTTTTTAACCATAAACCAGAGGAAAAGAAAAAGAACAGAATAAACACAGAGGGGGATGCAGTTACTCCAGCTCTGATTCGGAGCCTGCAGTGCCGTTATTGTTGGTGTTTCGAGAGAGTGACGTTTTAGCGTGATTATGATGCTAGCTATGTAGTGTTGTTTTTGAAAACTGGTTTCGAATTCAAATTGTTCTGCCTTTGTGTGTGTGTGTATGCCTATGTGATTGTGTGGGTATCATTTTTAATGCTCCTGCAACGTCTCCTTGATTCGTTCGTTCATTGTTGATGGGGGGGGGGGGGGGGGGGGGTCTATATGAGTTGTGTTCTGGGTTCAGTTCCGGGTGAGATGGGTGTGTGTGCTGTAGCGCACTCGTTGTGTGATAATCTTGCCTGCAGCGAAATTGGAGTAGGCTCTATCGTATTGTGTGGATGTGAGGAACGGTTTGTGAGATAAGGACTGAGATTGGAAGATGTGAAGGCTCGGGAGCGTTGAACGTTACAAGTGGTTTCACTCTTCTTCCTGTGCCGGTGCTATTTGGCCTGTGTTTAGGGTGGAGATGATCGCAAGTATGGCATTGCATGATGTATATTGTCTTGCTCGACGCGATCAATGGTTGAGTAAGTTGATTGCGCTCGGTCGTCTATCAGAGCAACCAAGGAATTGCAGTTGAGGTGTGAAGATTCACAGGTGTCCCTTCTCATGATATTGTGGTTTCGCGCTTCCCACCTACGTAGCGCCGTGATTGTGACAAAATTGTATCGCGATGTCCAGAGTCGCAATGGTGGTTGATCGAGTTAGGGTGGGTTCAACTCATACGCAGAGGAGGAACGTGACGATTCACTAGTGTCTTGACTTTTTGCCTTTGCGCAGGAGGTTGATAATTACACCGCACAATTGAAGAATTGCATCTCTACGGACCCTTCACAATCTGTAGTGGATTCCTGAAGTCTCACAAGTAGAATTCTGAGGTTGCTTTTGGAATAAAACGAAGGGTGACACAATGGGTGTTTGCCTGAGTAGGTGTGGAGACGCACAACAGAAAGCCGGGGTTGTGGCGGCGACCATCTCCCACCAGGGCTCCATAGGGAATGCTGGGGATTTGCATGACCCCAGCCACTCCCTGAAGAAGTTTCTCCATCTCTACGAGATCGTGGATGTGAGGAAGTCTTCGTCGTCTCCTCGGGCAAGTCTCGGAGAATCGTTGCAGATTCCACACAGCAGTGAGCTTTTCTCGCTCCCTGATTCCGATGCTGAGCGCACCAGCTGCTGTATATCGCCCTCTCCGGCGCGGGCGAGCAGGGTCTCAGCCTCATCCAGGACCACTTCCTCCCCAAAGTCTACTCGAAATTCGTTCAGTTCTTGGGGCGGCAGGTTTTCTATTGACAAAACTGTTTTGGTAGGCTGTAGGAAGAAGATTCGGCCAGCGCGGGGTTCTAAATCTTCCTTAGCTAGTGATCAGGACCTCGTGGCTCATCAGCGACTCGTCGAGGCGATTCTACGCCTTGATAGATTGAATGACGGGAAGAATCTGGAATTGCGAGGCTCCTCATTCTGCAGTTCGGATCTCAAACCTAAGACGCAAGTCCTTCCGAAGTCTCGCTCTGGCCGTGAGCCCAAGAGAGTAGACCGGGCAGACTCGACGCCCTGGAGCCGCTATGCCCGCCACTACCAGCTTCCACCGCATCTGCTGAAGTCATCTGTGCGTCCGAAGGACCATTGCTCTCAACCCCCCGCTTGTGATCGGACGGATTCCCATTGTTGCTCGAGTACTCATGATCTCGATCCAACCAGGAATACCAAGGTCGTAGAAGAGCCAGCGAATGTGCTTTGCCCCGATGGTTTCTCTAAGCGAAAGACTATGGGCAATCTTGTTTCCCTTGCAGCGCCTGTTATCAAGCAGATGCCACTCGAGAAGTCTGTCACGAATTTCCTGAAAGAGGTTGAGAATTTTGTATCTCTTATAGAAGCTCCGCGGTTGTCGTTGTCATCCGAAGCCGTGCAGCCCACCAAAGACGACCCGTTGATCATAACCACTGTTCCGAGGAGCGTGGAGGAAAGTGAGTGTGAGAGTACTCGCCTCCCCAGCTACCGATTTGAAGAGACGCATTGCGATGAGCAATTCACTTTCTTCGAGGCCACTTTTGAGAATTCTTCCGGCATTACGAGAGTCTCTGTTCCAGTTGCCACTTCACCGCAGCGATTGCCGCCGTCAGCCTCGCTAGAGAGCCATTCCAGTGAGGTGTGTTTTTTTGGCATCATCCACTATTTCCACCTCTTTCGAAAAAATGTGTAAGTTTACCATATGATATCAAACTGATTTCAGAATGCAGATGGTCACATGGTTACAGTGTTCGTCTTCCGCAGAGATCACTTCCAGCTGATAAGCCTGCCAATGTATCAGCCCCGGAATCCGCTGGCAAGGAGATACAGAACATGTCTTCCTGCTCTCATTCGCAGCCCTTGACGCTCAGGGTCGACCAGTCTACAGGAAAGCGTGCTGAGGCCTTAGCGTCGGAATTATTCATCCCAACCGACCCAGGAATTGAGGTGGGTCCTGCTGATGTGAATGGCAGCGAAATCATTGCACTTTTCATTCGGATTTGCTCCACTTCACATGCACAACCCTTAAAATGTGTCGCCTTTGAACTTGAAGTGTATCATGAATCAAATTTGCTAAGTTTAGCACATGAATCATTGATTGTGCCATGAAAGTTAATGGAGTTGAAAGTTGTCGAGGTTCTAAGTCGCTACGTCTTGTTATCTGCTGTTCATTCCGCTCAGGCGAAGCAGGTCAAGGATAGAGGTGCAGCTGCAAGAGCAGCTCTGTCAGAAGTCGACCCAAACGTGATGCTGATATCTAAGAAATCACCAATTTCCAAGAAGCCTCCCTCAAAATCTAAAGCAGTGAAAGGGTTTAATCGAGGGATTTCACGATCTTTGGACTCAATAGAGAGTTTAGTAACCAGGGTAAATTTCGACGTAATCATAAATAACCAAATTACAACAATCCATTCTTCCGATCAATCAGAAATCACAGACACCCCAGAAGGTCAGTCACTTTCTGGTGTAATGTATATTGTTAGAATCTCTTCTAGGTATCAGTTCTCTGTGCTAAATCTTTTACTTGACCTTCCGGTTCCTCTTTTCACATACTTCAGATCGTACTGATCAATTATGGTTACCTTCTAATAGTTGTGCAGTAGACTATCAAAGGATTACTTTGACAGCTTGTACTTCCGAAAGTTGTTTGTCTTTACTGCATCCCAAATACTTCTAATCGATCATTTGGATGTGAAGCAGGTTCATGATTACGAACGAAGCACAGTCTACAACCGAAGGTCGTGTCAAAGTTAATTGACTAGTACAATCCAGTGATCGTGCCCAATCAGTAGCCATGTCCCGTGGATAGGTTATGAGAAATAGTGAAGGGTAATGTTTCACTTCATAAACAAAGTGAACATTATCAAGGTTCTGGCGCCCAGACAAGTTCACTGGGGTGCGTGGACAGGAAAATTCGTGCTATGCAATAGTAGCTCTCTCTTATTTCAAATATTGATATAGTTATCAGAATATAATTTTTTTTCTATTCACTTTTCGCACGTTATCATATACGGCAAATGTTTAGCACTGTCTTCTACGGTCGAAAATCGTGTGAAGCGTTCATTCACAGATCTTTCTGCTTGTATATGTCCTTCTCATTATTACTCTGTCAACATGCTTTATACCAGAATATGCGTTGTACATCTGCACCATTATGCATATATATATGCTGTAAATAATATACACTACAACTTTATTCACATGTAGGCACCAGCTCTTTCCGTTGTAACTCCGCGGCAAGGAACGCAAATTAATAACCATCATCTCAATTGTTAACATGATGATCTATTCATACTGGAATGTTGTAACAACCAACCTCCACGTTGGACACGTCAAAAACAATTTGTTTGAACGTTCCACGCCAAGTGTTAACTGTGCAGGCACAGTTACCAGATGGTGATGATAGCATAAAGGGGGGCCACGAATAACAGAATGATACCGATGGTGTGGCTAATGCCGCGGGCTTCTGAGAATGCGGGACGGCAGCCTCCAGCTTGGCTGATGTGTTGCACCAGAAGGTAGGCACCAATGATCACGGAGACGATCTCTCCCCAGATGCCGGTGCGGTGGTTAACGAGAAACTTAGGTGCAGTAACGATGAGCAGAATGAACGCACCAGGCAACTCCAAATCACCTGATATCCACCAGTGCAAGGCGTGGCATGTTAATGTGCGAAGAGTGAGCTAATATCCGGAATTTTTATTTGAGATTATTTGCGAAAATTTAATCAGTAAGGCTGTGATCAGGAATAGAATTGCATACCGTGGATGACATTGGGGAATTGGGAAGCGAAGAAGAGGCGGATCACAACAGCAATGAAGGCAATCCACAGACCCACATTACCCCTTCAGGCACAGTCACGGTCAGCAAATAACCACCATATTCCCATGAACAACACTTTAACTAGGAAAGCTTAGAGTGATTTTGAAAGATTTCCAGCGGCTAAGGCATCAGAGTCTCACCTTAGGAAGTTGAAGATAGGCTCTGGGAGTTGCAGGGCCAAGTAGGGGACGAGGAGGGCGGTAAGCAAGTTGGTCCTCCAGTTAGTTCTGTCTAAGACTAACAAGTATCTGCACGGCATGAGCAAGTCAGAAAAAAACTGTTACATCCAACTTTCACACCAAAAGTCAGAGCAGAGAACATTAAAGAGAAATCACAGGAGCATCGAAACACGGCAGGTAATTCGTTTTTCGTGTCGAAACATTTGAACCTCACTGAGCAATATGCTGCTGTCCTCGGCATGAAGACAAGGTCAGAAGCAATTGGGAGTAGAAAACGGGTTCTTAAGAATAGAAAAACATCTGAATGGATGCTGTGCAAATAAAACTTTCTAAGCCAAACTTCACCAGTTTCAAAACTCACAACTATCGTGATTTTTCAAGATCCACAGATCGTGGCTACAAATTCAATCAAGACCTCGGAAATTTGGAACCGAAAAAGGCGAAAACTCACTAGGGGGATCAAAGCCTAAGATCAGTTGAGCTGTAACATACCATGGTCAGACCTGTAGCTCAACGCTCGAAAACCGCTAAGCAACGACGAAGAGACAACTTGCAACAACGGTGATGCGACAATCATCTCAAGCTATATGGACACAACCCCCAAATACCCATGACGCAAAATACAAGAACATTCAGGAAGCATCTCTCGGAGTGTTTACATGGCTGCAATGACGGCGAGCCACTGCAAAATGACGCCCCACGTGTAGCCGAAGGAAAGAGCGACCACGGCATGAGAACACAAGCTACTCAAAGCATTCCCCACAGCCTGCCAGTCTTGGCCCAGCGTTGCGGATTGACTCGTCACCATCTCGATTCCGAAATTTGGAGCCACCATCTTCTCCTCCTCTTCGACCTCCGGAAACCTGCGAGAAGGCAAGTCCTAGGGATACAGGAGAGCAACGTCGAAATGTATCTGGGAAATGTGAGTTGTTGTGGCAACTGCGAGGCATCAATAGCCGTGGCCGAGAGGTTGATCCTTCCACGTCAGGGTTGCCAGGCTGGTGCTTTTCACGTGGCAGTCAGGGGGACGCCTGGTGACTCGGAGAAGCTGGTTGGAATTGGCATTTGGTTCTTTGTGCCGAAGAAATCTCCCTACAGTGTTTATCAGCTTGTGCAAGATGCATGCTTGTGATTAAATTTCAACAGAAATTTCTTGTGACTGTCGTCGCCGGCACTCATCAGTACCTGTAGTGACAAGCCTTAAAAGTCGACCTCTGGCTGGCCCCATCTTGAACGGTGAAGAAATTCACTCGGGGGCGTAACTTAGGAGCATCATAATTAATGTGCATAATTAATGTGCATGGGATATAAGCTGAAGCTTCCGACTATCCAAACCGGACTCAACGTTTTTTGCAGGTTTGCATCGTCCCAGCCTAAAACTGTCAGTGGAGAACTCGAAATGGAGACAAAGAAAACACCAGTAAAAAATTCTCTACTCTGGAGCTTTTTTTGAAAAAGTTGGAAAACTGTAGAAACAAGGATCTTGTGCGCTTCAAGTAGTATTATACTTTCGCATCCCTTCTTTTGTATTGTACTACACAGATGAGCAAGCCGCGGATTGCTACAGATATCATGATAGTAACCCGCCCAATCGATGAACGAGAGCCAAAGATGGTGAGATCGAAGAACCCAGCATTTGAAACGTCCTCCACTGTTGTCCTCAACTCATGGAAGAAATTACAGCGGCAGCCAGAACGAAAACGAACACGTGCATATCAAGCGCTTCGTGCAATGCACTGGCATCGTGCATCGGATTCCCAGAGCGAGGGATTGGGTCCATGCCCATCACACACGTAGTGCAGCCACAATACGGGTTCACATGATGCCCATCCATGGAATATATACTTTCAACGCCGTGCACAGTTGGGAGCTAATCGGCGTGGAAGTTACTAACTTACAGGTAAGTGGGTTGATGGTTGGACTGGTTCTAGTTGTAGCAGCATCCTGCTCACGCCGACGATACACAAAACCAGCAAAAAAGTAAGAAAACGCAAGCCATGGATGGTCACGGAGAAACGCAATCCGTGAGGATAAGCATCTCGTGGACTCGTGGAGAAAGAGAATCGTGTGTCTTGTAGTGGGGTAGAAAAAGGCCGACCCCCACGCTGTCACTCTTTCCAGTGGCACTTTGTTGACAACGGACAGCACGCCATGAGCCGAGCAGAGCTTAGCAGTCACCGAATCGGTGGTGATTCAGAAATTTCTGAGCGTGGGGGAGGGAATTAAGCTCGTAATGAGCTGGGTGTGAGCGTGTGAGAGAGCAGGCTCCGCTCGCGCCGCGTCCCCTGCGAGGGAGGAAGCCAGCGAGCGAGGAGGACGTGCCGCGGCGTGCGACGAAGGGAGGCCGCGCCGACGCGGGCAAGTATTTCATGCGGCTCTCGCTCCCATCTGGGGATCTCTCGTTCTCTTGCGTTCCCTTTGAGTTGTGCTCTTGTATATATATATATAGTTTTTTTTTTTTTTTTTTTTTTTTTTTCATTGTAAAATCATGTGGGTATCTGAAGAAAGAAAGTGTGTGTTGGTGAAGAAAAATAAAATAATTATAAATGTGTATATCTAGAAGAAAATTACAAGCAACGTGGGGTTGACATGTGTATTATATGTACAGATGTCATGCTTACCGTCATTGTATTTTTATTTTATTTTATTTTATTTTGTTGGAGGAGGATTTTTTATTTAATTATTGAAAATTGTTTTAAATCTTGTCATTGGAATCAATCATGGTTGAAGTTTTTTATTGTTTCTTTTTGGACTTTTGGTTTTTGTTTTTTGGAAACTCCAAAGTGTGAAAAGGAGTGTCAATGAAGGGCCAATCTATTGGAATTACTTTGGATCATGTGCATTCTTTTAATAAATTTTTTTCTGTTTTTTATAATGATTCCACTATATTTTCATTTAGGGTGTTAAATGAATGAAATGGAGCAATAGATGTACTTAACTTCAAAATATATGTTTCAATCAACACACATAGAATCTAATATTAAATGACATCTCATTAATTGAGTTGAGTTGATTTAGAAGAAGTTTCTTACATAATTAGTACAGAGTCAGGACTAAGTACACAAACAAAGTTTATAATTTGAATTGTTTGTTTTGCAAGGAGGTTAGAAGTTAAGGGAAAAAAAAATTATGTATATGTATATATATGTGTTGTGGCAATATAATGAAAGTTACTAATTATATTTATGTAGGTTGCAATAATGATTTTATTTTCTTACAACATGTGAATTTACTTACACTATTTTTATTTATTCTCTATATTGTTATGATGTTTATCTACTTGAATGTATTACACCATTTACATTTAACAAAACAAAGGTTTTAAGCAAAAAAGAGTACATTAAATAATAAAATAACAATCGGTTCTTGATTTTAAAAACATAAAAAAATAAAAAAATAAAAAAAGTAAAATACTATTCTTGATATCAATATGTCTTTATCAATTGGAGTGGAAGTTTACCATGTTACAAAATTGATTTATTTAAATACATTTTAATAAAGAAGACTCTATTGTGAAAAAATATTCTTTTGTGGTAAGATAAATATATAAAATTTTGTTAGTACTAAGATATCAATACAATTATTGAATTTTTGGCATGCAAACTTATATTCTTGCTATATCTTTATTATTTTTTCTAATAAAGAAAAATAATATATTCTATGAAAAAAATATACTCATTACTTTTTTTCATTATGTACTATTATAGAAGACAATTTACTTGTATGTAAATTGTGAGTTTTGTAGTCAAATATTTCTCTACATAATATTTTGGAAGAGATTAATTACATGTTAAAACATTCATATCTACATTCATATCACTCATTCATATATATATATATATATATATATATGCACACACAAAAATATAATACATCATATGTTTTAACTTTTGTGGTTTTTATCTTTATTTTTTATCCACTTATTTAACTCACATGTATCCCAAAAAAACTAGTTGGTTTTTCAATGATTCTTTTCAATGAAATTGCTAGGATCTAAAAAATAAGACAAGATTACCAAAAATACAATAGAAGCCATACTTCTCAAAGAAGAGGCATAGAAAAGATAAAATCAACTTTCTAATCTCTGCTTTATTTGTAAACAAGCTTGGCAGGCAATCCAGGAAGAAGTTGTATTCTAAGTAAGTATAGCAAAAATCTACGATTGACAAGCTAAAGATCAGTAGCAGGTTATGCAAAGAAAGAAGGCACCAAAAAGATAATTTATAATGTTCTATGCCAAACAACAATGCATTAAGCATTGGCATCATTATTGTACAATCAACCTAAGAAGTTATACATGGGCTCCAAATAACAACATCATTGTTGGCCTTGCATGAATGCTAAGCATCAATCTTGGTGCTAATCCAAAACTTTAAAAATATATGCATTGACTATGTTGTTGATGTGCACATCCAACAGAATAAGAATAAAATTTTGAACTTTGATGACATTGTGCCCATTTAATTAGAAGGCCACTAATGGATCTTAGAGATCAAGCAAAATGTATCTTAGAATTTAGAGTCTATAAAAAAAGTACATCCATGTGGTTGTGAAGAATGTATGCTTGAAGAACACACAACATTTTCCTCTCCGCAACATTTCTATGCAAGAAAGATTGTAAGTTCAACCTTAAGAGAACTAACATTGATTACATCTTCTTACTTAAAAATATATTAATTCTCAAAAAATTCAACAGTAAGCCTTATTTCATGCTCTATAAGATCAAAAAATCAATAATAGTAGCCAATGCTAATATCCTAAGTTGAACTTTAATTAAGTGGCATCAAGCATTAGCATATACTTCGAAGAATATGATTTGAAAGATAAGGTGGCTAATCATAGTGATTTTGGTTGAGCATCAAAAGAGACAAAGAAAAGATGCTTGCATATAAATCTTGCATTGTTAGCAAGTTATACTAGTATTTTTTTTTGGATAATTATGAACAAGCTAAGAGTATACTTGACCTTATTATGTTGGACTTAGGATATATTGACAAAGCCAACTTTAACATATCAAAGTAGTTAGCTATACATATTGGCGAGTATTTGAGCTATACAAGTTTGAATTTTTTAAATAGAAAAGATTAGTTCTATAATGTATATAAAGCATAGAAAATAGAAATACAAAGAAGAATATAGAAGAAACTTAATTATTTTTTATTCTATTATATTACGTGTGTTCTTGCTTGAGAATGCACTGGGCATTTAGCCAGGGAAGGTAAGTAAAAATGCAACAACAATCCTACTAATTTTAATAGAATCTTAAATAAAATTTAAGTAAACCTTAATAATCTTAATTAAATTTTGAGTGATTCAAAATAAATTTATAAGAAGTTACAAAAAGAATACAAAAAATCCTGATTTGAACTCAAAAAAAAATAATAAGAAATCTTAAATAAGTATAAAAATAAACCTTTAAAAAAAATAACAATAATCTTAAAGAAATATTAGAAATAGATATTTTAAAGAAACAACAAAGAATCCTTTAAAATAATAAAAATGTAAATCTTAATATAATCCTAATTAAATATTAATTAAATCTTAGATCAAATCTTATTTAAAATCCTAATTGAACCTTAGCCAAATCTTCTATCAAATTCTAATTGAAATCCTAATTGAACCTTAATCAAATCTTAGGTCAAATCCTAATAAAATCATAATGAAATCTTAAATCCTAAAAAAAGACTAAAAAAATCCTAGACAAATTTTAAACCAAATTTTAAGCTCTAATCAAACTATAAACAAACCCTAATCCAAATTCTAATCAAACCTTAGATCTTAAACAAACTCTTCATAAATCTAATAGCAGAATGGAACCTCAACAATTAATGATCAAATTATTGATATCAACTCAAAATTTTCATATTTCTTAATATTTTAGTTAAAAAAAAGTACAAAAATGATGAAATCAATCATATATACCAATTGAAAGAAATGAAAGAT